GTTTACATTTATCTTCAATAGGTTTTTATCATTTTACATTTATTTTGCATGGAAATTCTCATTATTGTACTCATTCTACTATTTTGAGCACAATTCTGCTAGCTCTCTGTTAAAATGTGGTGAACAGGGCTCATCGAAATCTGGGGTGAAATGCATCCATAGAAAACTGGCGTCGACTGAAAAGCGGAACAAAATGACAATCGGCACGCCCTGAACCTTCTCGTTATATTTACGTTCTCTGCTTGCAGTTCACACGATGTCCGTAATCGGTTGTTCACGTTATTTGACGTTCACTGTTATTAACCCAAGCAAGCAATTGATTTTGCTGGTAAGTTTAATTATGAAAAATTGATTAAATTAATTAAATTACATTTGTAAAGATATGACCTTAATTTCAATAAGGTAAAGGTGGCCGCAGTAGCCGAACATCCAAAAAAAAACATGGACAATTAATTTAAATAAAAAATTAAGTTAAATTTTCTGCAGGGAAAGCCAGACGTTCGGAGGCAGCTTAGTATAAACTGTAGATCCCTACATTTGTTGGAAAAACATTAAGACAGAAAACCACCAATTGGAGGAGGAGCTCGGCCGAAAATCGATTAAGCGGTTACAAAGCGCCAATTATATATAATCAAATAAAATAGTCCTGTGAATTTACATAAAATTTTAAAATTCGATCAATTACCAAATTAAATTCCAAATATAATGTCAAAAGGAAGCAAGGAAAGGAAAACCTAAATTCAATAAAAGTTGACTCATGTGAAAGCAATAACAAAATAATAATAACAAAAAAGAGAATGCAAAAAATAAATGTGTTTTCAAGACTTGAATTCTTTCTACAGAATAATATATAACGGTCTTTGACAAGGTGTAAACTCGCCTTCATTTTAAGATGTCAACTAATCAGTTGATTTAAAGAGATAAATTTTGTTAAAATAGGAATTCTATTCAATTATTGCTTTGTCTATTTCAGTTCGTATATTGAAAAATGGAAGCGAATAATGCAATATTTGACGAAGTTAGTAACTGCACTAAAATGAAAAATGGACATTTTGTCCACAAATTTATGTTTATAGTGTTTCCAATACATGAGTAAAGCAGGAGACATATAGCTGTCAAAAAAGGCGAAATGTTTTTCTACAGTCCATTAAAACTTTGTATATATGTATGTATATATTTTCAGACAAGCCGAGGCACAGAAAGTTTTGGTGGCACTGAAGAGACAGGTAAGGTAAATAGTTCCAGTTTATTGTGCTGATAATTTCGGAAACTTAAATTTTTGAACGTAACCACACACCGAATTGATTTCGCAATACCGCTTGATAAGGCACGGCGTCTGTTTGAGCGTCTTCGCGGTTATCGCTTGTCGCATAGCGTACATGATTATACCGACGCAATAATACCGCACCTGTTTATGAAATTCTTAAGTGATAGGCAATAAATTGAAATTTTCTTCAACCCTTAAATGCACACTCTGAGTCCCCGGGACTCACTCAAAATGTAAGCTCCTCGTATCAAACACATTTTTTACCTTAGCTTCCTTCCTAAAGTTGAGTGAAAACCTTTAATGGAAGACTAACGCACAGCACTAAAGTGTTACTACATTAAATGTTTTCGTATTGTTTCAATGGGTCGGCTGTAAACCCAATGAGTGATTTTGAAAAATAATGCTTTGTTTGTGCAGAACCTAGTAAAAATTCTATTTCCCCAAACATTTTCAGACAATTAAATATAAAAAACTTGAACAACTGTGTCAAAGAATACAATTTTTGTATTATTGAAGTTTATATACAACAGACACTAAATTCATCACAAACTGATAAATTTCCAGGGAACATACATATATGACCAAAAACTTTTACTCACTTGTCTCACATGTGCCAAAGGATAGGCACAAAACGATTTGATATTTGTATTATTGCTATGGGTTAGCCTAGTTTAACATGAAATCTCAATCTTTTAACAACTTTTTTATGAACTTACAAGAGTATCACAAAAATTTAATTGGGGTTAAGATCAATAATGTTTATTTTTTCGAATTTCAATCAATGATGTACAAATTTTACAGACTAGAAGTACAAATTAATAAAAAATTTATAACCATATATAATTGGCTTAAATTACAACTATGTAAATAGAACGAATAGTGAGAGCGCAAAGTTCTATGAGAAACATGAAAGGTGATTTGTTAAGCTACAGCTAAGTCATTGATGATGACATAAATAAATAGTAATGGCAGGATAGATCGTCGATGAGATAGATTGTAGCTTAGATCGAGAATTATAAGATGGTGGTGATCGGAGAAATAAAGCGAAGTAAGAGCAAAGCGAATAAACATACGTTGGACGGTTTCAAGTCTATTGGAATGCGTAGAATAAATTGGATTCCAAATTAAGCTAGCATACTCCAGCTATGAACGAACCAAGGAATTATACAAAATTTCACGCGTGTACGGATCTTAGAAATTACCACTATACCGCTGTAAAAAAGCAAGGTTAGAATATGATTTAGGAATGATTCGGCTGATGTGATTACTGAAGGTAAATCGCACATCAAACAACACACCAAGATCCAAAAATTAATTTACAAAAGATAGCTATTATCAAATAGATAATAAGTCGACCTGAACACATTTGAATACATAACAACATAAAATGCTTTGTGGGTCAGCATCAAAACTTTGAAAAAATCGGTATAGACGACATCAAATTGATATCCCGTCATAAAAGATGAAATGCTATAACACGAGAGACAGGCTAGGTTAGTGGCGGTAGAACGACCGCTGACAAAACCATGCTGATGCGGTCTAATGGAGCCTTTAACCGCAAAAAATAATTTATCCTTTATCACTTTCTCGAGAAGTTTCGCGCAAGTCGATAATTTAGATATCGGCCTATAATTTTTGTTATCAGACTTAAACAACGGAGAGATAGAAGAAATTTTCCAATGACTAATGAAAACGCCAGGCGACAACGAAATATTAAAAATATATTTAAACGAGCTGCACTTTTTAAGAACATAAGAAGCAAGAAGGTCCAAATCGCTACTCAAAAATAGTTGCAAAGCAGCAATCCCATTCAAAAGATCCAATTCAGTGACTGAAAGACTACCGAAATCTAAAGCCTGTATCCAAAGTGCTTTCAAAACTCCTCCCACAGTAAAACATGCAATAGGAAATATTGCAACAACCTTATTAGTGGTTTTCCGTCTTAATGTTTTTTCAACAAAATGCGAGGGACCTATAGTTATATATTCATATATATATTTTCAAAAGGCTTTTAGATTCATTTTTAACTCGTTTTAACGCGAATAAAGAAACTTATCGAGCAAACGAGACCGAACAAAAAAAGACAACTAGAAAATTGATCATTCAGTTTGGATAAGAAAGTTTCATAGCATTCCGTCACATTTTTAGAGAAAAAATCTTATTTCCAATCGATTTCCAGATTACATGCATTCAAAGCGGCAAAGTCCGCGTTACGAAAATTATAACGTTTAATAGTAATGCTGCCTTAAACGGAGATGAAAATAGGAAATTTTATACAAAGGGAAAACGGGACATGATGCATATCCCATTTGCAAATTGGGAACGCACATTCTCTAAGTTCAAAGATTAAATTTTCATCTACAAAATGAGATCTAAGATATTATTAATCTTATTCGAAAAGAATTAAATTGCCCATTATTAATGTTATTGCAGTTGGTGTTGAAATGCCATTATCTAAAAGATTTAACCATTTGTTTTCGTTTAGATTGAAGTCACCTAATATGCAAAAGGGACTATCTTCGTTATTTTCATAGATTTTCAAGATATCATTTGTTATTTGTATATGGCCGGCAACGCAAAAAAAAAGTTCATATTCACAGCGCGAGCTATACAGAAACACATCCTTGCTTTTGGTACGCATTCCCGAGACGGTTTGATGATAAATATTGCTTAACGAATTTATATGACTGCGTTACAATGACAACAGCTATAGTAGATACAGAAACGCCAGCGCCTGGAGACAGCAAATATATTGTGAGAGTGATGAGAGGAAGGTACAGTTGAAAACATGAGTGCACGTTGTAGGCAGCGAACAAGAAGTAGCTGCAGTAGTACAGTCAGCGACAATCTTATTGACTTTCGGGTTAGCAGCGCATAACTTATCAGCTGACGATGTTTGTAATTTCCTCGGAGTAGGTTTACAACCATTACACTGAGGTTATTTGACGTCCGATATCAATTTTCGAGTGTCTGTTAAAATTTAACTTCGCTTTAAACACTTTTCGTTTTCCCAACTGCCCGTTTTAGTATGTGGCTGTTAAGCTTAACGCGGTCAAAGCACTGGTTAGCAATTTTTCTTCGACAGCGATATATGTGTTGTTTACAAACAGAAAGCAGCTGATTAACAAATTTACTTATTTCTTTTACAACAATATATGTATAAATTAACGAAATTCCGTTATAAATAAGATTTTGATCATCTCTTTGTTTGAAATTTATAGTTAAGCAAAAATAGCGCGGTAGTATTTGAATATAATATAAATTTTGTTAAAAACCAACTTACAATAAATGCATTTATTAGCATTTCATTTTTGGCGAGTATCGCGTCTTTAACGAAAGCGAAAATTTTTTGTTATGACCTAGCGATGGTCATCGATTATGTTTAGTTTAATTCAATAACTTTGGAATTACCATTATATTGCTATTATATCCAGTATATATAATTATGAGAACTCCCCATTGCGATGCATTACGAAATATGAAATTTGAAAAAATAACTTCCATCTGTAAACTCAGGATTACTATAAAGTTACTAATTGCTTCTATCAAGAATTACTATTTAGAGGTGATGTTTGAGCACGGTTTTGCGTTCCAGGTATCTGCGTTAACATATTTTTTTTTAAACCGGTGTAATGGGCTTTGTGTAAAAATCCCGCATTTAAATATTGTATATGGTCATCCGAGTTGTTAGCACGGCATACTACCATTCGAAAGGCCAGAGTTCGAGTGTTGGTTCAATCAACATTCAAAATATAAGAAATTATTTTTTTTTTTTAAATTGCAAAACTCATCCATATTTTCCTGTAGGCTTTTCATAATATACATACATTAAATCAGCTTGGAATTTAAAAATAAAAAACTTTAATTTGGCAGGGTAGAAGTTGAAACTATTCAAAATTTTATATAAAATGGCTTCATACAAGAGCAAATAGTTGCTAATGCATTATTATTCTACTATAAAAAACTGTCAAGGAAAATCATTCCCACCTAGACCTGTTGACACATAGACCAAACTGTGTGTCAAAATTTCTGGAATGATTCGTAGCTTGGTGGAATGCATTTCAAGTACATGTTATTAAAAGTTTTTGTTTCTATACCGCAAATGGAATATATGGAAATTTTTACCTTTCAACAATTCATTAGAAGAAAGTGAGGAAGGATGTATTTTTCCCGCTTAAAAATGTAATCTAATTTGGTATACGAGTATTTTCCAAAAGTTTCAATATATGTCTAAAACCAGAAAATACAATGCTTTAGCTCAGCAGTGTCAAAGTCTCTTTCTACTTTACTTACTTCAAACTACTATTACACAAACAAAATACACAGGTCTTTTCTTTTTGTATTCTTGTTACTACCGTTTGTAAATTTGCCTTGGTAAAAATATTATATAATGGATAATATACGGGTATTTTATATTCACGAGTTTGAAGAAGCCTCTGTGCGCCATATTGCGAAGGGAAATTTAAGGCAATTTACTTTATTTACGTTTAGAACAGCTGATTTAGGGCCCTTTCTTCCTTTTCGCAGCACTGCCAACTTTTAAATAATATTAAATAAGCATTTAACTGGAGGTCGAGAAAATGAAAACGAATTTATCATATCGGTATATTTAATTATCTGTTTCGTGATTCCCACACTAACAGGCACTCGAAAAAACGGGTTTTATTGTTCTTATCTATTTCAACTCTAATGCTGTAGTAGTGCCCATTCTTTTTGTTTTCTCCCCCATTCTTCTTTCACACAAATGTCTTCCAACTTCTTCTTCTTCATTGGACACCTAATAGCCGAATCAATAGTATGCCTTTTCCGGGTTAGGAGTTAGGTAGTATATTTTCTCTCCACTGCAGTTCGACATCCCTCATCGTACCAGATCATTTATTGTCACTGCCGAAAACCACAGTCCACAGTTCTCTTATATCGAGATGAGTGCTTTCCAGCTGTTTGATGTGTTTTCCGACGTCGAACTTTCCCTGTGTTTATTGACGGGCGGTTCTTCATACACAGGGACGACGAGATAGTAGTCTGATGGTAACGTACGTACAATCTAGAACACTGGATACATGTCTACCGTGAATCGCTACATGATCGATTTGATTGCGCGATTTTCGATCCCGCGGCAGCCACGTAGTTTAATGGATTTTCTTGTGCGGAAATCTGGTATTACAGAATTTGAATTTCCCGAAAAATACCTTCTTTGAAGTCGCCAAAAGCAATATTGACATCGTGACATCGGTCATAGACGAGTTCTAAGCAGTCAGTACTCGGCAGCGGGGTCTCTCTCCCACCCCAAAGCCAAATTTACGCTCTTTTATATGACAAAATGAAATAAAAACTTCTCACTAAAATCCACTTGACGTTCGGAAGCGGCTTAGTAAGTACTGTAGGTCCCTCCATTTGTTGGAAAACATCGAGACACATGCATACCCACAAATTAGGGAAGGAGCTGGACAAAAATCGCTTAAGTGATTACAATCTGCCAATATACATATATTCGGGGACAAATAATAATATGCCTGTTGTAGTTTAACTTGCTACAGAGACTTCCTTTTTTAATCTGGTTTCAGAGTAATTGAAAACGTTTAAAGCTTAAATGTTCTTACGCAAATTAATTCTTAGTGGTTGATGCACATGCCATTAAACAATTAGTTGTTAATAAAACTATTGGGCTCATTTTTGAAAATCTTCATTTTGCTGTTACAAATTCATATATGTATGTAAGTGTGTACTTGTATCTGTACGTTTGTGTGATTCTGGTCATATAATAAGGGGCCATATGGCTCATAAATGGAATGCAGTAAATCATATCGCAAAAAATATTTGCTTGTATATATGTATGTATTGTATGTATGTATGTATGTATCATGTATGTATGTGCATACATAGGTATATTACACACTTCTGATTATTTTACTACAAAAATAAATTATACAAAGTTAATTTCTTGCTAATAAGCAAAGCTGTATCGCTATCACAAACTGTTCGGGAAGAATGAGGTTTTAGACAAGTAGATTGCCCATTAGCTTCAAGTTTCAACAGTCAGAATCTACCAATATAATAAAGGTGATCTTTAACGGAGTCGCCCAAACGTTTCGTATTCACTAAACAGCGCTTTGGCAGATCGGTAGTGATATCGCGAAGTGGACTTTATATACATACATACATACACACATACATATGTACAAACAGCTAACACTCCCGTATTTATACATGAATGTATGAATATACACTCAGACTCAGATACATGCATTTACATACATATATAGCTGAATATTGAATAGTTACCGCATTCGTCAACAATTGTAATTTTTCCTGATTTCTCATAATTATGGCAAGCGTAGACGGTAAATATTTATACTTTTTAATAAAATCTATACTACATATGTTTATAGCCAATAAAATTTATATGTAATGTATATACATATATATATATATATATATATATAATGTTCCTCGTATAAATCGTTACGGAATAAAGCGAAAACCTGTTGTAATTCAAAAATACAGACACCAGCAGTTTTTATATTGTTTAGTAAATCGTAAATAAATGCATGTGAGAGACATAAATTAAAAAGCATGTGTAACCTATATTTTGTCATTTTGCTTTTATCAAGTATTTAAATATAATGCCTTGAAATTCATTATTTATATATGAACACAATTATTATTTAATATATTATAATTGCAAACAGGTCAACTTTTCAGATGTTCAAACAGCACGATAAATATAACAACAATATATTGCTACGTCTGCATTGCACTTGTACATATGTATGCATATACTATGACCCAGCAGGAAATGGTAAGGCCTCGAAGTGACCCGCTGAAGTGGAAAGTTTGTCTTTGACCCCCGGCCTATCGCTGAAAGTTAACACAGCGATGTCCAAGCGAATGTAAAGCCTTCGTATTTCTCTTCCAAATACCAGTTCGAGTAATGGAAATGTTCATTCGTGTTCTCGGGTGTAACCTTACCACTCCGCTTAACAGAAACCCTGTTATTTGTATTAGAAGTAACATAGCCATAGTACAGCATAACAACTGATCCAAGCAACTTAAGCCAGTCTTAAAGCCTGCTCTTGTGTGGATCAGCTTTTAATGTGCAACACCATGATGCTGTGGTGAAGATATGGCCGCAGCTAGCAACTGAATTTATGTTTTTCGTCGTAGTCATAGACAGCTGTATGCTTCTATGTGGCATTTTAATGATTTTGATTTTACTTATTTCTATTACCGTAAATATAATTACAGTTGTGGCTATGATTATAGTTTGCCCTTCCAAATTTGCTAGAGTGGAGTGACTGACTATACAGTGGACATACTCAGTCGCATATAATTGTATGGTTGAATGTGCGTATAGCTGATAATCTAATCTTAAAAATGTATGTTTTTCAGCTGCGGGAAATAAAATCCCCAAAATTATATATTAATCCATTTAAAATGTTCATGCACATGTATACTTATACAATACATACAATAATTAATATCCCAGTAGAAATAGTATGCATAAATATAAATGAACTTTTATTTCTATTTTGCACGTGAAGTTCCTAATGAGCAAGTATACTTTTTCCATTCAAAAGTAATAACGGGGCATGCATAAAAACTTCATCCTTCTTCACATATGCATAATGCATTCTTTCTGTATGCGTACAATTTATTTCAACTGGGATATTGTTCACCTCACAATCGTCAAATTTTCAATATATACATATGATCCCGAACGTTCTATTACCTATTTTTTTTTTTTAGAATACTTGTCAATTGATACAAATAGCTATTGCAGTTACGCTTGCTATACATAACAATCTATTTGTTAGTATTTTGAACAACAAGAAGCAAAAATAGATATAACACTTTACTTTACCATCTGAAAAGTACGATCACTTGAGCCAACATATCCCTGCAAGAAGGCTTCCGAGCATTTGAGCCAACATATGTCAGGAATGCATGATATCATATCCCGTCAGCTCGTAGAACGATTTTTCTATCACTTTCTTAATGCCGAAATGACAAATGTGATGTTTACATTTGTATACATGTACTTCATTCTCGCTTTCTCGATTGTGCATTTTCGTCATTCTTGTCGGACAAACAGAACACAGCTGAGCGACAGCATTGATACCAAAAGAAAACAATATGGACGCAAAAAACAACAGCAGTGCCGTACAAGCCGAACACAGATGAGCGATACCATCGCTTAGACAAAAGCTTCCCCTACATATTATATATATACATACATACAATCATTATTAAGATTCAGTCTTTATTTCAATATTTTACATAAATCATGCACATATTTACATAACGTAATTTCGTTTTCAAAAATCATTCAAAAATATTATAAGCAAAACCGCATATACAGAAGTCTTTAATAGTGCCATGCGTTGGTGGCGCGGCTTCTCAGTTCCATGAGCGCCTGCGTCATAATCGCGGCTCCTTTGAAGTATAAAGACGTCCAAGTGTCTAGATGCAGTTGTACCTTGCAGGGTTTTGTCGAATACTTGGAAACCTGCTACTGCTGCAAGATGATATTCCGTACAATACGGAGTGCCCTTTAGTAAAAACAATGTCAAGAGTAATGAGAAATGAAGTAGTTAATTAGTTGACAATATATTATTATAATCCATATTTTTCACTTGTTTTGTTTAACTGAACAATATCAATGATTCCTACAATAGTAAAGGCTCTCGGTAAACGAAAATGAGGTGGCAGTGGAGTAAAATCATCGCCCGCACACCACTCGGCTTCCGTTGAGAAATTAGAAGTTAGGAAATAGAAAAAATTATTATTTCTAGTACAACGGTTTATTTTGGAATACCATAACTTTTCAATCCTCGTTCCTTTAAAGGACTTTTTGCAGAAATATATTGATATCTTTATCGTTGGACGGCTATTAGGCATATAGAATTTCATCACTCTTGAAATACAATAAATTTTGAATATATTTAATGAGTTAAAAATTTCACATAATTGCCAATTTTATTAAATAACTTAGGAAAATACCTAAAACCAAAAATGATGAACTGTATAATTAAGCGTTTTCAAAAATAACCGCCAAATTAAACAGCTGTTGCATAACTTGCTGGGTAATTTTGACAGACATTTCTCAACAAGCACAGCTTGGATTTAGTCATGTCCGTCTGTTTGTCTATTGAAATTAACCTAACAGTTTTTTAGTTTTTTAGGTGCATTTTTGAAATAAATTAATCATTTGAACAGTTAAGTTAAAAACCAGATGCGCATACATACACACACTGATTGAGGTCACCATTTTTGTCTCGTTGGTTATAGATTAGGTTTATTGCAGTTCAAGCCGTATCATTCAAGTATTTCAGGTGAGTCGATCATGGTCGGAGACTTGCTTTTAAAATGCCCAAATTTCTTTAATGCTCATTACAGCATTTAATGTGCTTACAGGGCTTACACTTTTCATTGATAACGACGGGCGACCAGATTATCCGCAAATAATCCAATTTCAATCCATATGTCGTTATGCAAATGTACTTGTAGTAATGTGAGTCAATGGTTTGACGGATCTTAACAGTAAACGCTCCGCAGCTTGTCATTTCGATCCATGCGATGTTGATTACGTTTCATCGGCATATGCGGAATCAAAAATAAAAGGATTTGATTGAAATTTAACTAATTTTAGGAAATCTCATATCATCAGCCATATAGATCCTCACAGAGTGCTCATCATATTTTATTATTTAAAATTGTATGTACATTGTACATATGTATGTCCATGCATACATATATGAATTGATAAAATTTTTTTAAACTTTTCTCTTTAGATGGCCTATACGAACAACAATTACCTAACATTCGATCAACAATTCTAAGTAGTAGTAAAAAACTATGCCGCCCATCTACACTGACAAGTAAATTCCCAATACTGCTTTGGCTGCGTACGTATCAAGTGTCCTTTCTCTTTCGCGATGCCATTGCTGGCTTCACGGTGGGCCTCACTACTATACCCCAAGCGATTGCTTATGGTGTGGTTGCTGGCCTGCAGCCTCAGTACGGGTTATACGCGGCTTTCATGGGCTGTTTCACCTATATCGTATTTGGTTCTTGCAAGGACGTCACAATTGGTAAACTATAAAAATTTTCACTTTCATTTCGACGTAGAGTAACTTTTTTATTTAGCCACCACGGCGATCATGGCGCTAATGGTACATGACTACGCGATTATAACACCAGATTACGCTGTTCTCATTTCCTTCCTAACTGGTTGCACAATCTTGGTGCTGGGCATTCTTAACCTCGGTGTTCTTGTGCGATTCATTTCTATGCCTGTCATCACTGGCTTCACAATGGCGGCAGCGTTCACAATTGGCAGTGCCCAGATTAACAACTTGTTTGGAATGAAGAGTAAGTAAGGATTATAAATTCCAATTGCGATGTAATACATTCATACGTACATACGACTATGTACGTATAGTATATGTGACAATGATTATACATGGAGAGTTCCGCTTATCCGGATTACTTACATGGACTTATCTGGGTAAAAATAAAATGTTTCATTCAAACTTTTCACTGTCTCAAAGATATACTCGTTGGTATGCTTATTTAAAACAGACCTTTTCAAAAGAATATACTCATAACTCCGCCGTGGCGTCAAACGTTCCTAGTAAGTTGTATCTCGAAGACCTGCGTAAAATTTTATATTTCATTATTATTTATTTATTTTTTTGTTAAATATACACCTACAGTTTATTCTAAGCCGAACTGCCGACGGATTTTCATGAGAAGCTTTTTTTTATTTCATGTCAGAAACACACTCGGAGGGCTTCACATTCCCTGTTCAAGAGCGAACGCAATTAAATATTTATTTCTATAATTTTACGCATTGCTAACCACTCGGCTATTACGGCCGCAATTTCGAGAAGAACGCATTTAAATATTGAAGACACCTTTCAAGAGCTGTTACTCCGAAACTTTTATTCGGATCGACTTGAAAATTTAGGATAACATTCGAGATCCGAAATTGGAAGAAAACACTTGCTTCTTTTTACTTTTTATTAATTAAACATGCCCGTATGTCAGCATTTAAAACGACGTTTTTGTATAAAACTCTAAACTTTTAAGGTCCATCAAATCAGTTCATTGCCTCGTGGAATTATTTTTTTACACACCTCACAAATGTGCGCTTAAATGACTCTTTGCTGGGTGTAGGCAGCCTTGTTTTTCTACTGCTAATGAAGGTATGATATTCACCAATACACAATTATCAAATGAACATACCTGCTTATATGAAATGTAACTTTCAGAAAGTTAAGGATATACCTTATGGAAATAAGATATTTTGGAAATATATTTCGTTATCTCGCAATGCCTTGGTGGTAATATTTGGAACCTTATTGGCATATCAATTAAGCCGGGATGGATATGAACCTTTCCGACTAACAGGAAATATTACAGCGGGACTGCCTCCTTTTCGTGCACCACCATTTAGTACAATTGTTGATGGTGAGAAAGTATATTTCAAGGACATGATAAGCACAATCGGTTCGTCTTTGGCGTCCATACCGTTGGTATCGATTCTTGAAATTGTGGCAATTGCCAAAGCGTTCTGTAAGTAATTCTGTCATTCTTATAAACATAAACATGCGTATGTACAATAATATGCAATCATCGTTAATAATTTTATAGCTAAAGGTAAAATTGTTGATGCGTCACAGGAAATGATTGCGCTTGGCATGTGTAATATTATGGGAAGTTTCGTATCAGCTATGCCGGTTACAGGATCGTTTACGAGGACTGCAGTTAATAATGCCAGTGGAGTTAAAACACCCTTGGGCGGTGCAGTAACCGGTGCGATGGTATTGATGGCGTTGGCATTTCTCACTCAAACATTCTATTATATTCCGAAAGCAACGCTAGCCTCAGTCATTATTGCGGCCATGATATCTCTTGTTGAACTTGAGAGGCTTGTCGATATTTGGAAATCAAAAAGTAAATCCTTATTTTCAAAAATAAAAAAAAAACATATGTTTTGACATTTTTCTTTGAGGATAAAGCTTAATTTATTTCAGTATTAATAAATGTTTCTTTTGCTTTAACTTTTAAATAGTAAATACTGAGCAATTTTTGATGCTCTTCCACTAATATTTTACTTAAATATTTTAATTCAAGGGATGGATCTCTTCCCATTTGCTGTAACTTTTGTAACCTGTCTATTCTGGAGCCTTGAATATGGAATTATTTGCGGTGTAATAGTCAACATTTCATTTATTCTTTACAGAAGCGCAAGACCGCAAACATATTTGGAGAAGAGAAAGGTGAAAAATTATATAAAAATGTTGACTCTAATCTATTGTATAATGTATACTCGACTCTTACTTAAAGGTATACAACTTTGACATATGTTTTGTGGAGGTTAAACAGAGGCTGGATTTCGCATCAGCAGAATATCTGAAAGAACGGGTTGTGAAGTTTATGAGCGGAAATAGATATGACATTAGTCTGATTGTTATAAAAGGAGATGAGATTAATTCCATTGACTACACTGTCGCTATGGTGAGTGTGAGTGTGAAAAAAATCAAATTTTGTGGGGAGTCGGTAAATCTGATTTAAAAACCACTGTAAAAACACTGAAATTAATTCTGTTCGGTGACATGATGGAACCGCATTCAGTGAGGATAGCCAGTAACACCAAACGCCGAGAACACCTATCACGTTTAGTGTGCATATAAGAGAAGAATTAAAGATCAATTGAATAATTCTTTTTATAAAATGTAAAATGTAATATTTAAATAACAAAAATTAGTTAAATTTTCTAATTGTGGTCGACCCTCCGAGTGTATTTCTACCATTAAATAAAGGCTCCTCATAAAAAACCATCAGCCGCTCGGGGGCGGCTTAGTATAAACTGTAGGTCCCTCCATTTGTTGGAAACACATCAAGACGCAAAACCACAAATTGGAGATGGAGGTCGTCCGAAAGCGCCAATTATATGTAAACGTTAATATCCTTTATTACTATTTTTTTTTATTTATAGAACATAATATCCCTTAAAGAAGACCTTGAAATGCTTAGTTGTGACCTCATTTGTTGGCAATGGAACATTTGTGCTGCAGGAGTTGTTTGCAGATTAAATGGCGATTTGTGCTGTTTATTTAAGAACGATCAGAGTATTGAGGAGTTGGTGAATAACTATTATCTAAATCTCCAAAGAAAAAATGAGGCATCTATTGAATCTGTCTGCACTAACGGTACATAATTCGATATGTGGTTTTTTTGTCTCCATAACAAATGGCATATTAAAAAAAAAAAGTATTATAAAAATAAACTACTATCTTTATGAAATTGTTTGCACATTATTGTAATTCAAATGTTTAGCGTTATCAAATAAACAGACGATTCTTTATTTTTATTTATGTCGTATTATAGGCATATACAACACGTACATACACCCGCATGTTGGCAAGTTTAATCAACGTATCTCTTTTTTACTCAATAATACGTTCCACGGACGTAGAGACATGTCTAAACCGACGTGCTTTGTCATTATATGAAGTTTTATGGAGTTTATGTGGCTATATCTATCTTGATTATTCATTGTTGTTGTATATAAACGTTACCAGTACGAAGTTAAAATGCGTGTTCGGGTTGTTGTGTTTTTGTATTAAAAAAATTTAATAGTAGTTCCAAATTTCATAGTATAACTGACTCAATAAAACATGCTTATTGTATCAGTAAATTGCTTTGGAAATACGACGACTACTGGTGATTGGTGTGCGTGCCCGAGACCAAATGATTTAAAAAGTCTTCCGAAGTATGCTCTAGGCAATCCATGAAAAGGGGTCCTCACAGTCTGCGCCTACCACTATCACTATCTTCAATATCGCATTTGAGCTCTTATCTAAAGTATAATGAAAGATTAAAGTCACTCAGACATGGTGACCCTCTATTTACTTATTTATTTAATAATGAGAAAGTATTGGTACAATAAGACTTCCTTACCCTTTTTAGTACAATAGAAATAGTGCGAAGAATAAGTTGTAGTTATTACAGATACATTAACTATAATACTAATAATAATGAACAGAATATGACAGAAATTGAAACAATTAATAAATAGTCAGACTAAGATAAAGTTCGCCTTTCAAAATACATATGTATATATAAGCATATGGGGTTCTTGAAATTGCTTTTGTTAAATTTTCTCCTTAAATAAGCAGGAAGAGAGTTCCATAATCGGCTAGCGTTGACAAAGAAGAGCCTTGCGGATAAAAAAAAAGTATTAAAATATTACCTACTCTGGCGGATCGAGTAAAGAATAACTGGGAATAAAAATAGCTAGGAGGTTGAGTAATAATGAGTTTGCAAAGAAAAATACAATACAATTTCTGGCTTTATGATAGTCCGCAATCATACATCCCAGTAGCCGACTTTCCAAGACGATATATGTATGCACATATTTGGAAAAACGAAACACATCCCGTTTGACATTATTAAACATAACATCAATTTTATGAGCAGACGCAGTGTCATGTTTCCTGTATACGACTTCAGAGTACATGATAACTGGATGATTAATTTACAGTGGATGCATAGATAGCTGACTGCCTAAGATTCCTCAAAATGAGATAGACCTTACTAATAATTTATCTATATATGTATGTTGGGGGCAAAAAACACAAATTTGTCAGTTTTCTAGCGCTGATTAGTAACCCTGCAAGATCAACTAAGGGAGCAGTTTGACTGGAATGGACGCTTTTCATCTAGCCGCAGTAGCAGATTTAAAAATATTCGACAAAACTTTGCGTTGAGGTATAACTGCATTACAGACATATGTTATTAATGTCTGATTCGAATATTAATTTTTTTTTTACTATGATTCGAATATTTATTTTGCTTACAATATTTTGCAGATTTTGAAAATGAATTTATTGCTATATTATTATTTCTTTGTATACTATATAAACCATGTACCTTATCAATGTAAAAATATTGAAATAAAGACTGAATCTTAATAATGATTATATGTACATATGTATATATGTAGGGAACATTTTTGTCAAAGCTGATTTCCCTCGTCATCAATCCTGTCGCTCAGCTGTGTTCGGTTTGTCCGACAAGAATGACAAAAATGAACGAGGAAACGAAGAGAGAATGACGTACCCGTATACAAATGGAGACATCACGTTTTCTATTTCGGCCTTAAGAAAGTGATAGGAGCTGACGAGATATGTCGTCATGCATTCCTGACATATGTTGGCTGAAATGATCTTAAGCCTTCTTGCAGGGAACGCACAGCATTTGTTATTATTTAAAATTAGACCGCTGCTAGCCGCCCAGCTCGAAATATCAGTCATGGTTATGTAGGTTTGAAAATTTACACACTAAATATGGCATTAATAAATGTGCTGAAAAGCTGCGAACCCAGGGAGGAGGCTTGAGGCATCCCTAAAGTAACTGGCTTGCGTTGCGACGCAATTTTAGAGAGTGGCGAGCATTTCGCCATTCGGAAGGTCTGGGTTCTAGTATTTTTGGCATGAAATAAAAAGACCATCATAAAAATCTGTCGTCTAGTCGAAGGCTGCAGGTCCCTCCATTTGTTTGACAAACATCAGGACGCACACAACTAATTGGAAGATGAGCACGGTCGAAAAAGTTCATATATATATAACAAGAATTAAGAAGCTAAAAAGACAATATCGATATCATTGGAAGTATCCCCTGTTGCTGTTTAATTTCTGCGTCAAAATTGGTACCCAAAACTTTGAAGTCGCAGATAGTTTCGTCTACTTGGGAACCATTATAAACAATACCAACGATGCCAGCTTTGGAATCCAACGCGAAGCACTTTCGAAAAACAACACTCAACATTCAGAGGCTTGGAAGAAAATAACTTTTTAAGACAAGTCCGTATTAATATTCGAGAAAAAGGCGATAAGCTGTACGAGTTACCTCGGCTAAGCATTACCTAAACGAGGCTAGGTCGCCAAAAAAATAACAACCCATGGTCTAATGGAATCCGAGAGACACCTAGCAACAGGGTTGCTTTAGCTTCTTGGCTGGTGTCGAACACAAAATTGTCTTGATCAACAGGCCCCCAAGCTTTGTTTCTGAGGACTACTTAATATTAGTGAACAAGAGCTAATTGGGCCGACTTCGCGGAATTGACCGATAACTCCTAACAACTGACGTTGTTATTAGCAAACGTTTTTCCACGATATTGTGATGTTGCTGACGCTTACTTCAAACCGGCTGACGGAGTTTCTAAGTGAACACCGTCCGCACAAACTGCCAAAAACCTGCTCGGCGCTTTACTTCAGGTTCAGGGGGTGATAGATACGGTAAAAAGTTTTAAATCCATGCAAAAAAAAAAAAAATCCATGCAAAAAAAAAAGCATGCAGATTTTAAAACATCTGACCACTCTAACAATACGTATGAAAACCGGGTAGAGTGGTCTTTTCGCAGTAGCGAATACAAAAGAGATATCGCTGCCCCCGTCTTTCACTCGCCACCTGAGTCAAGCAGCTCATAAATTAGGCTTTAGAAAAGCCTACTTACCTACTTACTTAATGGACATATGTTAGGCCTACTTACAATGAGTCCCAGCATGACACTAACCATCTCTTTGCATGTTCCCTAAAGCATACTCATCCTACACTCCCCAACATCTCCTATTAAATGAACCCAATGTAAGTTAGACTGGTTTTTTACTGCAACAATTGGGGCTAGGCTGGCTGGATCATGTACTTCGAAGTACATGCTGGTGAAAGTAGAGGATGCGATGACCTCAACTCCCTTGGAAACATCAGGTGGAGAGCGATTTGGCATCGCAATAACCGCGTAAGCACGTCAATAAATAAGAAGAAGAGCAATAAGACATCCCTGTCTCATATTAAAAACTCAGTGGCATCGCTGATAGGTGTGTATCGAAAATTATTAACACATATTAGAGAACTATACATTTTCTGAATATACATACATATGTTGCTTATTTCATTTCAATTGGATTTATAATTAAGTTTATGCAATTTTAATATATTCATTAATTTTTTTAGATTGTATTGCATAAAAGTCTTCAGTAACGCGCTCGGTGTAAAGCAGGTCAATGATTTCTATTGAAGAATAAACCTTGAGGATTATATCCCATTAAATTATTTTGGATTTTGATCAGGTACTGGTGCACCAATTAATTATTAGTTGCATAGAGTACAAACCGTTCCAGCAGCGTTAATTAACTTAAGCATTGCTAATCTAATTTACGTTCATCCTACTGATTGGTTATCATTTATTCTAAAATTCATGTGAAACGACGTAAGGGTAGCACCCTTCCAATCATAATATTTTGAATGTGTTTTGCTAACACCATCGTTGAAACACATAAAAAATTCATTACGCCAAAAGAAGGTGGCGTGTACATTCATACTAAGGCAGAGCACAGAGAAATTTGTGACAAAAATCCAAATTTATACAATATGTCTCGTACTAAATCGCGTTTGCAAATTGAAGTATGTGGAGATTGTGGAGCTTCTGGTAATATAGTTATTTTGTGACTCAAATATTTTAAACATCTCATATATTTAATTGTTCATATAACAGATCCTTCGTGGGCTTCCATAAACCGTGGCATTTTACTTTGCTCAGATTGCTGCTCAGTTCATCGAAGCCTAGGCCGACACATTTCAATGGTGAAATCTTTACGTCAAGGAACTTGGGAACCTTCAGTTCTCAATTTCGTAAACTCATTGAATGCTCATGGAGCGAATAGTGTCTGGGAACATCACCTTCTTGATACTAACTCTTCAAAAAATGACAAAGGAATGCCTCGGGTACGAAAACCGAATCCCAAAGATCCTTTGCATCCTGTGAAGTCGGATTTTATTAAATCAAAGCACGTAAACCTAGTATTCGTTTTGAAATCAAATCTTCAAGAGGAAGGTATAATTTCTGGTGTAAATTTAGAAAACGAGCTCAGTAGACAACTTCATGCAAGTGTGAGGACCAGCAATCTGGAAACTTCTCTCCGCCTACTTGTCCAAGGGGCGAATCCTAACTATTTTCATGAAGAAAAGCGATCAACGCCTCTGCATGTGGCTGCCAAATTTGGACAAGCGTCTCAAATTGAGTTGCTTGTAGCAAACGGGGCAGATATTAACGCCATTGACGGCAATGGGCTAACTCCTCTCGAAGTTGCCAAATCAAACAACCATAATGTTATAGCGGAGAGGCTACTAGATTCATTGTACGAAGTGACGGATCGCATTATAATGTTTTTAGGTGGTAAAAAACCGGATCATTCGGTAAAAAAAAATATATACATATTATTAATGACTCAATTTATTATGATATATTTATAAAATAGTCAGGTTGTCATTTGATAATCCCAGAAACTAATAATACTGAAATAAGCGAACAGCTTACTATTGCCCGAAACCGTTTGCAAGTAGTTCCAAATAAAATGTTTGAAGAATTAGTAATGGACCTATACGATGAAGTTGACCGAAGAGAAAATGAAGCAAGTAAGATAATTAATCTTAGTGTGTTTAAGTAATCAGAATAAATACATGAAAAATAAATTTGTGCGCATTTACACGTGAATATATTGTATATGGAAAAAACTCATATTTGAGCCATTTCATATATTCACGGTTAAATTAATTATTTACATTGTATACACAATACAAAAACATTTAAATTATTTACAGTTTGGGCAACTTCTACATTAAATGGTGAAAATGTGGCAGTGCCATTTTTGCCGGCAAATCCATTCTTAAGTGCTACACGAAATCAAGTAAATTTTATTAGCCAAACGTAAATAGCAACAAGTATATTAATTGTTATTACAACTTAAAGGGTAGGCAAAAACTTGCACGTTTTTCTCGAAAGGAATTCGCGGGCCTATTAACAGATGTGTTATGTGATGCACGTCGACGACAAAAAATTGCGAGCTTACGCCCACTTGACACACCCAATTTGAATTCGTTTTATAACCCACCTTTATTAAATGAAAATGAATTGGAATTGTCAGATGATGAACCCATTTACGATCCCGTGGCGAGCGATGACGATTATGCACCAATACCACCAATCTCCCAGCAGGTAAATATCCCAAAATATTGTAGTGCCAAAAAACGGTTTGAATAATTTGAACATTTTTTTTTTACATCTCTACTAATGAAAATTCTTAAGTTTTTGCAATTTCTATCGTTCCCAACTGGTTAATATAAATGATGTGATTTAGATAAAAAAAAAATGATAGTAACAATTTATGCAAGTGCTTAAATTTCTTATTTTAATATATATTATTTACAATATTTGTTGTTTTGCGTTTTTAAGACTTTTTGATTTCGTATTCGCTAATTCAGGCTATTGTGCATCAAACGCCAGATGAGCCGCAGCATGAAGTTCAAACGTTGTTGAGACAAATAAATGACTACAAGTATGTGATTAATCAGCTGAAATCTACTGTTGAAAAGCTTTCGTCTGAAAATTCTGAATTAAAATCAAAGTTTTCAAATGCTTCCGTGGACTGTACAATAAATGAGACTGTCGTTCACCATGACTCGCTGTGAGCTGGCTTTCTTTGTTTTTATTTGTTCATTTATTCTCTTTTTATTTACATTAATTTTTATTTTTAATTTGTTTATTTCAAATCAAACACTATATTATTAAAGCCGGACCGACATAAATGGTGTTGAAAATGGAAGCGAATCGCTTTCACTTCCAGAGGAGGCTGGAAATGGAGCCATTATTACAGATTCAAATTCTTCTAGTTCTTCCTCAGCCAACAGCTCGAATCAGTCGACCATTAAGCGTCCTGCAAGCATGTATGAACGTCGTATCGCTCCGTCTTTGTTTAAACCAAGCGTTGATTGTCGCACCACAACCAGTATGTACCAAATGGCCGCTGATAAGCCTTTCTCAGAGGAACTAAAGCATCGTACGGATTTCGTTACACGTCGAGTTAAGGAGCTCGTTGCCATTATGCAAGACCTGCCATCAAACAAAGACGAACTAGTTCCTTGTGGAGAGAGGGTACGCTCTGCCGTAATGGAATTGATATCAATATTTACAACACCGGTATTTTCTAAATTTTTTTAAATATTGGGCAATTAACCAACATTTATTTATTAATTCTTTTTCCTTATAGTCAAATTACAACGAAACCATAAGAGATATGCTCAAAACACTGACCCGCTACAACATTCTAATGCCCCATGAATGTGAAAATTTGCTGAAGTCGTACACATTAGATGAAAAAACAGCTATCGATAAATATAACAATGAAGTCCGAGAATGTGCATACTATATTGTTAGCTCAATGAAAACTCTTGTCATGCAGTTTGAGTGATGCGCTCTATATAATATATCTACACATACATACAATTATATAATATAATACCTACCCTTCCAATTGAACTACATCAAATACTTAGCCTTTCACGAAAATACTAATAATTAAATGAATATTCCTCTAAAACTATCCATGTAATATAAGATTTTTCTTATAGAATTAAAGTTGTCTTCATTTTTTAATAAATACTAATAATGATTAATTCGTTAGCAACTACTAAATGTGTTGATGAGCTCAATTTTATTTGCACTCATATATACCATATATAGTACATAAGTGAACCACTTGTGATTGCTACGTGTATACTTGTAAGTGTGTTCTTCACAATTATAATTACTCCTCTTCGGTTTCAGTAATCACAGAATTTTTCGTAAAAGCTTCACTTTTCATTAATAAGTGATGAAAGTGCTCTTCATCTTGAATTTTGATAATCCGTTGTTGCACGGCTGGTGCCAAATCGCAGCTTGCCTGCTCTAAGTCATCCAAAGAGGCCCTTCGGAACATCTTTAAAAAATTTAGTCGATTTTTTTTACATTTTTCATGAAAAAAAAAATTATGAATACCTTCGTTCTTTTAGTGTGGAGTATATCCACAGATTTTCCTTGATGTCCAACGGATAACTTTCTTATTGGCGATGGACCATCTAAATCTAGGTTTTCGAGCATTTGTACCATACTATGTCGCCGTGAAAGAGTAACTAAGGATTGCCTATGTTTGGTATGATGATCGCTCTTTTCACTTCGAATATTAATTGCTTTGAAATGATTTTGTATGGTAAGACCTAGTTCAGGACAAAGGTCTTCGTCAATCTACGAAAATTAAAAAAATATATAATTTCAAATCAAATAATTAGTGATATATATATAATGTATTATCACTAAAACGTACCAGAATTTGAGCATTTTTGAACATTGTGAAACCATCGCAACCATTATATATATAACTTTTAATACATATTTTATACATTTGTTCTAAGTTAATGAACTCGTCTGCCACCTGTATCAATCGTGGATCTATACGTTTTCCAGGAGGTTTCGCGGGGTCAAAGGCAAACGTCACACCACTCACCTATCGCGAATATGATTAATGCAAATATGGAATATGTGCATAAACGTATGTATGTATGTATGCAACAAAAAATGTCAGTTACACATACTTGAGGAAATCTGCCTTCTAATTTGGGATAAGCTGACACGGCATTCTCTAAGGCATCCCATAAGCACTTGCCAGTAACACTCAAAATAATAAGAGGATCTCGCATTGGTATTATATTAACTAAATCACGCATTGTAAACGATCCTGGAGGGTGTATTTGATCTGAGCGAAAAGTGCCTGAGTTGATGATCACCACGTCCGCTCCTGTAGCAGCGAGAACAACGTCACATACCCAATTGCCTAAATTTGTTTCTTGACTCCGGATTATAGAGAAGCGGCCTTCCAATTCCACACCAAAATTTCCCAAAACTTCAGTCATTTTGGCTTCAACAACCTCTATATGAAAAAAAAAAATAATGAAATGAAAAAGAGAAATGCTATATTATGAAGATATTTTATGATTACAAACGGCTTGCGTCACGGCTAATTTATGACTATACTTTGTTCGTTATATATAGATACCTGAGTATTTTTCCAGTTCTTCTTTAAGAGCTTTGTCTTCCACAAAATCTGAAGTGACATTTACTTCTTCAACTGCTATCGTAAGTTTACCGTCCTTATCGCGATCCTTCTCTAATGTTATTTTTGAAAATTGACGAAAATCCGTTCCAGACTTTACAATTTTTATTCCATTAACCTCTCTAATTTCATATACATGATCATGTCCACCAAGAATTAGATCTATGCCGGAGCAATTGGCTGCTAATTTTATATCATTTGGGGTCCTCATGTGGGTCAAAGCAATTATAATGTAACATCCTTTATTTCGCAATTCGGATACCAATTTACTCCCAGCTTCAACGTAGTCGATGTAGGTGACTTCGTTCGGATCAATAGTTGGTAATGTTTCCAGCCACTCCCGTTCTACCAGTCCTATTAGTCCAATGGATATTTGATTATGTGAAATGATATGAAATTTTTTTCCACCTCCAAGAGGCCTTCCGGTCTCTTTATCAACAACATTTGACATAAGCCAAGGAAAATCGGTTTTTTTTATTAAACTTGTCAGCACATCCAAACCATGATCTGAAAATGAGTTCAGAATCAATATGAAGTAATAATATTCGATTGACTTAATTACGAGAAAATGAACAAGTTCACGTATTGCCATGCTTGCCTCAATTCAACCAAAAACCAAAATTATAGAAAAACTAGTTTTTCTAATTGCGGTCGCCTCTTGGCAGGGAAAGTCAAGCGCTCTGAGTGTATTTCTGATATGAAATAAATGTTTTTAATAAAAATCGATCTGTCGTTCGGAGGCGGAAATGCACTCAACAAATTGGAGGCTGAGAATGACTCCAGCCGTTAGATAGAGCCAATTATATACATATTTATATATGTCTTAATATTTAAGTTATTAAACATCGGTTCGAAAAAAATTTCATAATAATATTGAAGTTTTTAATTTTGGTATGATATTTAATTATGCTAAATTAAAAAACATGCCTGATGTTTTTACAACAAACTCGGAGGGGCTTGACTTTACCTGCTGAAAACTCGATTAACTTATAAAAATGTGTACTTACCAAAATCGTGATTTCCAAATACGGCACAATGAGTTCCCGTTTTACTTAATACTGGTATCATCTGCTCGCCCTGAGTGAAAGTGCTTACTAAATAATTAAACAAAGAATTAGTATCTAAATAATTTTTGTATAACGTCGTATTACACATGCTTGGAGAGAATATATCACCGCTAAACAAAATCAGAGGATTCAGATGGGCAAACGATTTAATTGCTGTGCAAAAACGTGCTGCCCCACCTACAGGCTCCTTCCCGCAGTTTGGCTCTATATTATAAACATCATTGTAATGTAAAATAGTTAAAGGAGTGTCAGACATCGTTGTCAGTGCTCTCGACTGAGAGTTATTATTCGGATTTAAATTTGATAAAACCACCGGGAATCGTTGTGACGTAGGCTTTATGATGTTATTATCGTTTACTGAAGACCTGAAAACGTAGTCTATTCCTCCGTATAGCAAATTTGACTGTATACTGTGATTATTGGACATAAATCGTATCCTTAATTCTCGAACCAATAGTTGACTAAAATTAAAATATAAATTAAGGAGCATAAATAAATACATAGTAGAATATAATAACCATAAGCAAGTATTTTATTAGTAAGCCTATCGCCTTATTTTCAGCAGCTCTCAGGTCACCCGCAGAAACGATATCCGAACGTATGCTCTATTAAGGAAAATTTTTCTAAATCTACATATGTACATACATATAAATGTACATATGTAAACGAATTATTCAATATACCCAAACCAATCTAATTCGCCTTAATTTACGATAGCATTTGAATCACAATACAGATTGGTCTCAAAATTATGTGTATCTAAACTTTGAGTAAGTGAAAAATTAGTAGAAGGTAATAAACTATCAAATTTTTGTTTGAAAAATGCACCAAAATCTTCTATCACTTTAATTTTGCAGTTTTCTAAGAAAAACAATTTTCACTGTGTTTCCTCCTAATGCAAAATTTCGAATACCTATCTTAAATTAATGTACTTTATTTTCACGGAAAACTGAGTACTTAGTTGTGCAGAGTAGAAATCTTTTTCCCATATTACTCCTTATTAATTTAATACAAATGAAAGTAATCTTTTCCGCTTTTTTCTGACATCCTTTTTATTTCACTTTTGTTAATTTGTTTTCGCAGTTCTTCACAACATTAAAATAAAGTATTGAACACTGAAGCTGCGACGCCGCGACAAGCGGCAGAGGTAAAAATAAAAACGCCTGTCGTTGTCCTCCACATAATGCGGATTGAAATACGGCAGTCGACGACAAGTAGATATGCGATGCAAAGATACTTAGTATTTAATTTTTTTAAAATCGAATTATCATGTTGTTCATATAATAATTTTAAAATAATAAACTTTTATAATAATAATAAATAGATTTGTTGTTGTGCTGTAGTGTGACCCTAATTGAAGCTTAAGTTTGCCTACACGAAACTGTAATAGCTCTGTTCGGTGGACTCGACTTTGACCCTTTAACCTCTTAAATTTTTTTTTAAAGTTTTCACGTAAAAAAGTTTAAAAGTTTAAGAATATTAGTTTTTATTTTAATATGAGTACTACATATATACATCTAAAAAAGAACAATAAGAAGAATACTACAAAAGGTAGGAGGAGTTCGACCAAAAATCACTTTAGTGCTTTCGAAGCTCTCTTTGTAGTTTATTTAAATCATGGGGGACCCCATGTTTATCATTCAATGGAGCTTTCGGGAGAATTGCTCCATTCGAATTGCAGGTAAGACCGTATCTCTTCAAATATTTGCTATCGTTACGACCAAGTTTTGGTGAAATTTACCTGAGGATTACTCAAATAGGTTCATTTTCATAATATTTCCTTTATTTCAATACTTGCCAATACTATTCAATTATTTTAATTAAAATAAAACGATTATCTCTTAAACATAGGTGCATATTTTTATTATTATTTAGAACAATTTTATTAAAAATTATATATTTAATGGAAAACATATTTACCTACATATTGAAACATTTGAAATAAAACAATATTTTTTATAATATACATATGGAAATTATTCACTTCTTTTTAGACAAAATTTTATAACTTTCAAAATGTCTTAAAAAGCCTGGCTTTTTATCAACGACATTATATAACCAACATTTTGGGAAAATGAGCTCAACCTTGAACAAAATAATATCTCAATTCCTACTGAGTCGACACAATATTGCGCATTTGCCGTATAGCCGTTACCAATCGTGGTTCACACCCAACACTCAAGGCCAAGTAATTTCCGGAATCAGCTTTAAGTAAAACTAAAATTTGTGATAAGCTAGTACTGATATTAAGTCCCAATTCTTCTAAAACATTTGATAAATATTCAATATCGACAGCAAATTGTTTAGAAGAACTAACGGGCATAACTTTTACTTGTAATATCTGGGATTGATATAATTGACAGCATTGCTCCACTACTAAGGACAGCAATATGTCAGCGCAAGGAATAGATTGTGTATATTTTGCATTACAAATCTCCAATGCTTGTTTTAGTAAAGCCGATGGTGTAAATAATAAAGGTTCTAGATGTTGAGGTAGAGTTAAAAGATATTGCCCGATTTGTGTGATACTTTCTTGAGGTACAAAACTGAATTCCGGCATAGTTGCTGATAGTGAATCTGAATTCAAATGTTGGGAAGGCTCAATATTTAAAAGATGTTCCTCAACAGGCTTTAATAAAATGTTTAAAGCTATTTCATGGGTATCTTCGCAAAGTGTTTTAACCTGAGCATATATAGAAGCGAAAAGTTTGGAGGGCTCGTTAATCTCAACAGAATTCTGTTGGAGTTTTTCAATAATATTTACTAAATTCTTTTGCTCATGAATATCCAAAATGTCGACTATATTAAATATTTTATCGGATTTCGTGGAAATAATGGTTTCCTTCAGTTTAATCAATCGGTTCTGCAGAGTTTTTTCAAACTTATTTAGTTTTATTTGAAAATCTGCCAGACATTGTAAAAGTGACATAGAACTTTGTAATGCTAACCAATTTTCGGTCCCACTAGCTAAACTCAAAGCAACTTGTCTTTGAGTTTTCAAAAAATTATCCAAACATTTTTTCAGAATTCCGCTAACGATTTCAATTAGTTTACATAACGCTAAATCGTCTGTTATATTCCTACAACGTTCACTAGACTCACAAAGCCAATCGATAATTTTTTGATTACATGTCTCCAGATGTCGCACCATGTCCCCCGCTGAACCGTGGCTTACTAACATCTTATCCACTTGTGCAGATAAATTTGTTTCCTCTATTCGTGGATATTGGTCTATAAAATTTTGGAAAAATCCATAAACGGATTGCACTATTTGTTGTTTAATTTCTTTCGATATTTGAAGTTTTGATTGGTCTATGAATGTCGTTAAATGCGACATAAACTTATGGTTCGCCTGGGCACACTCTTCTAAAAGTTCAAGTCTCTCGTTAGAAGATTTAAGCAACTGCAACACATAGTTTTCACGTGTTGGTTGTAGCGATGGTAACAGTTCTATTACTACACTGATTGGCTGGAAAATTGCTTGCGAGTTATCAAATACTTCTGAACACCATCTTACTTGCTGCTGGCTATGTTCCAACAAATGTATATAGAATATTGAAAGAAATTGATGCTGAATTGTGTTTTCTGTTGCGTGGGTATCCAAAATTTGTTTCCATTTTTGTTGTAAAGAGTTTTTCTGAACTGCTCGATAGTATTGTTCCAATTGGGAAACACGTTGTATTCCAGAAAATATATGTATATATTGTTTTGCTTTCTCTAAATCACTTTCTGCAAAGCTCTGAACCACATATGGGGAGGCCAAAGCTTCAAGTCGATTTTTGAAGTCTTCCACTTGTGCGAGCCTTTCATTGTGCCCTAATAACTGTTCTTGAACTTGTAACGACTTTTGTAAGCTTAGTAATTTTTCAAATGCGCCCTATAGTAATAGACAAGTATGAACAAATGTTATTTATATACAAATATTTGTGAATTCCTACCATCAAGTTATTGTGCTCAAAACAATCCTCCAATTCGCATATTAGATTTCCCCAGCCATCCGATTCTTGTAGGGATTCCTTGGCTTTTTGAAGTTTTGACTGTATAGTATTTAAACGTTCCAATGCAGCCATACAATCACCTGTTTCCTCTTGGACAACGGTCATTTCTACCCGCATTTCATGCATTCGTTTTTTCAATTCCTCTACTTCAGTTTGAAGGAAAACAGCGTCCTTGATAACTCTAGGCATACTAGATACCAACTTTTGTCCAGTTTCATCGACAGCGCAATGAACTTGTTGTATATACAAATGTAATTTGGATACGTATTTATCAATGAAATGCATAGGCAAGGAGTCGTTGCCACTCCTGTCGGGCAAGTCTCCCGTATTCCTGTATTCGGCTGCTTCTTCCTCTAAAAATTTATTAAAGTTTGAATTGATCCAATCAATTGAAGAGAATGTATCTTCCGACAAAGCAGAAATATCCATTTTTGATAAAATAAATAATAATTTCAATCGGTACGTTGCAACTTGACAACGGCTAGTGATGATCCGATAGAAGTACTTTGAAATAAATGTTTCTGTCATTTCATTAAAACCGGGTATTGTTTTGTGTATTATACGTGTAAGCAAGTACTTGGTTCGTGTCGAGTACATTTCGTAAGTATATTTGTAGCAACAATGCAAGATGGTGCTTAGAGTCCAGAGTCAAAAAATTTAAGATTCATAACCTGGACTTTGAAAAATGTCAACTATTAAATTATTTAGAAATCTGGAAAACGAATATAATTAAAAAAGTACTTTTAAGTACAATGCATCACTCGGCTTCTAGCAACGAGTATTTTCTCCGATATTTTTTAAGAGCGAATCGCGGTATCGAAACATACTCTACAAGAAGGTTTTCAAATCAAATAAATAAAATTGAAATCGAATCTTTTGATTTATTGTAATCAATTGTAAATACATTTTAACGGTTATTTGCCTGAACCGGGGCAGTTACTGAATCTCTTTGGGAGATTTCGTTACTGGTGAATTCTTACTGACATTTCCCACCGAACAGAGCTATTGACATAACAAAATTCCAAACTCAAATGAATTGAGATAGCATTTGTATGAAGCAAATTCACACACGGTTGTAGCATGAATACAAAAACAAAAAGCGTATATATTTTGTTTGTGTAATCATAGTTTCGAACTACGCCAGACCATGCGTATCAATAGTGACTCGCCGGGAGCTTGGTTAGGAGGTTCGTATGCATCCACCTTGTGGCACTGAGTGATTACCATCGACTCTCAATTTTTTGCCAATAGGAACGAGGGTTTCAATGAGAGGCGTAATGAAACTACCTTTAAAATGGCAACAAGTTATCGTACAAAAAGGCGCATATTTGACATAAATTTAATGATTTTAACTATCGTAATTAAAGCCTTCATTTTCATGCAAAAATAATAGACTTCTTTTTACTCCACCAATATTTCTGTATACAAATTCTTGGTATTTGAATCTAATTGTATTTAGCCAATAAAGTATGTATAAACGTTGGTCGTTCTGTACCAAATTAATTGCGATAAATTAAACTCAGCAGAATAGAGCGGAACGGATTTTTTTGCTGTGTGTTCAACGGCCAACGAATAAAATCTTCAAGTTAAAAATTCAAAACCGAAGCAAGGAACGTATGTATATTAATATAATTAATATACGTTCTTATGTTCGTTGGTTGAAAGGGAAGGTTGAGGACCCGATCATAAGCGGCCGCACCTAAACTATAAAGTAGGTCATTGTTCGATTTTAATACTCAGTATTTATAATAAAATTAGTCACACACCTATGAAATTATTTTTTTATACTCTATTAAAACGTGTATTAATTAGTATATTATTTTATCTATTCAGGTTTATAAAATTCTATTATTAACCACCGAGTCTTCTTAGTTTGCGATTCCTATTATTTCGTCTATAACGATTGTTTCGATTTCGATTTCTGGCTCTATTACTCGAGCGCTTGTTATTTCGATTTATAATCATATTACTTCTGTTATTATTCTGTCTTCTTCGATTTGGCCTTTGTCGCCCTCGTCCAACTGGTCGCGAGCGGCCACGTCTGCTTGGACGTCTAGAAGTTCTCCGGCCGCGGTTAGTTCTCGAACGCCTTATATGCCGAACCGCTGTAAATCGCAGATTAGACACGCGAACTCTCTTTCGGCCAGATTGCGGTAGTACGCTAGAATAGCTAGAAGGGTAGCTTTGTGATGAAGGATATGAGCTTGACAAGCTCGTAGTGTTATTTTGAGCGCGTGAGTATTTCACATAGAACGCGCCCACTAAAACGAGGCATACTAAAATCTTACCCAATCCCATTTTGATAATGACTTATTGGCACAACCCGCGTCTTTATATAATCACCCAAAGAGAATAGTTAATTAAACAGTAGTAAGTACTAAACTATTCTTAAACCGATGAAACAGTTGACTTAATCAAATATTTGTATATTAAACATTTCAGACATAAATACATATGTACATATGTACATACGACATACGGAAGTAATCAAATATTGCGAATTTTTTGATAAATATTAGCAAAAAAAACTGTATTTGAAATTAAACATTCTTTTTTAATAAAACAATTCAACAGATAAGGAATATAAAAAAGCATTCTACAAAACATTAAATAAAATAAAACTTGAAAACTCAATTTAAACATTTAGTTTAAAAAACATTCATATACAACATACTATTTTGACAGAATTTAAAAGAAATCAAAGAAGTTGGAGCATTCTATTGAAAAACTGTCGTCCTTACTGGGGTGCTGATCCAGATATTCTTCTGTCCCGATTTCCGCCAGCTTTTGTACACCTTTCATGCATTTCGAGGAGCACAATTCTTTACGAGCATCAGCCTTTGTAAACGACATATATGATTTATATTTGTTTTACTTAGTTTCAGACGCTTACCCATGTTATATCGATAGGGCTTTCATGGAGTAGTTTATATAACTTTTCAAATTGCTTTCGGTTCTGTATAACTTTGCCTTCCTTGTTACGCCATTTATTACGCTGCCAATTATTCATCCAAAAAGCTACCGCGTTAAGAAGAAATTCTGAGCTCGTGTGTAAGCAAAGTTTAGGAATATCAACTCGTATAGCACTTTCAATAGCTGCTATGGCTGCTTCGATATCACCTACATTTCGTGTCATGCGTCCACTTGCCGCTTCTGCTATGTTTCTAAAGCATAGGGAATATCAAATAATAAATATAGAGACTGCATTATAATTTATTATATTACAAGGGATGGTTTTTGCCAAAGTAAACACCATAGCCAGCTACACAGTTCCAATTACCAACATTTTCGGTGTGTCCACCAATGTACACATCAATGTAATCATTTCTACTAACATTAAAAATATAGGTACCAATTTTAACCCGTTGCAATTTAGAATTTCGATTCATAGTTTGCATTAATGCCTTGACTCCCATTTTACTTTCGTCTGGATATTCCTTTAATTCACCAATCGCTGTCAGCTTTGCGAATGAATTTTATTATTCGAAGCTGTATACAATGTATCAATACAAATATCTTACCAATTCTTTATCACCATTGACATCCTCGAACCATAACATGTCCACTGTGTCCACTGGCTCTTCTTTTATATCGTTCGTTATTGGCATTTTCGGTTGTAAAGGAATATAATCAGGTTCTTCTTGCATTATTGCAGGCCTTAACTCGTCATCGGCAGGAAGTTTTAAGCATCCCAGTAAAATATTTGCTTTTTGCTTTTCCAATAAAAAATCGGTAGCTTGGGAGAGTGTAGAAAACTTTTTGAATATAGCGCCGCTAAATTTTTTAACTTGCTGTTCGCATTCGGCCCAAGTGGTGTATACACCCTCTTTCCGTCCTTTTGCTACAGCATAAAAAGGCATTTTCAAAAGGGTCTAGGATTAGTTATCACAGAAATGCTCAAAATATACTGTTGTTTGAATTATAAATCAGCGCGCCGAGTTTTTTTTTTATAATAATGGCTATTGTAATGGTATTGTCATATCAAGCTTTTGCTTTGCATTGTATCAGGACTGATAATTGTGTTCCGACATGCCTTTAACACAAGCACGGGTATCGATTATTCGGTATCCGCATCGCAAAATCATGCCAGGACGTTCAAGAACTGAGTACGAACAAAAGTTGAGGTATAAACAAGCAGGCAAGCACAACAGGGATTCAGTTACAAAGTGTACTAAATGGCGACAGCAGCGTTACGGAGTACTGCGGAATAATCTGCATGTTGAGAAATTATCAGACCTATTCTCACTGTTACCGGTAAAGTAAATTTTGTTACTTTTTTTAACACCCGAAATTGAATTTGGTATTCTGGCGAACTGGTTACAATGTTTGAAAAACTTTGGCCGCACTGCTTTTCTCGTCCTTGCCAAATTACATCTGTCAGTTGGTAAAGTAAAAAGAAAAATATTCAAATCGAAATGGAAGACGGTGCACAACAAAATAAATAAGTTTTACTTATTTGTTTATTAAATCAGAAAAACATATTTGAATCTAATTTTGGAAAGTATGCCTAAATGACAAAAAAAAGCTGAATGGAAACGCTATCTTCCAAATTAAATGGCCATTTTGCAATTTTTCTTTATCTTCAATGAATTCCAGGCCTAAAATATCCCTACCCAATTTGGTATTTATTTTTTCTCAAACTAACAACACAAAATCAAACAGCAGATTTTTTTATTACCTTCTATTTCGTTGGTAACAAAATTTACAGGGTGACAGTGAATAAAGAATACGAAATAGTAACAAAATTTACTGAATGGTAAATTTTAAAACCAAAGTGAATTTTGTTACCTTGACAGAATGGGCCTGTATAAAGCAAATCTTGGTCCTTATTTTAAGCAATCGAGTAATCGAACTCAAATGATTTGGGAAATCATCGAGGCGCATTTTGCAAAATCACTACGATACGAATAACAAAATCAACTCATTTTGTAAATATGACAGCGAATTGAAGTTTTCCATTATTGTTGTTGTTGTAACAACAAAAATATTCCTCAAAGTAATTTTTGAGAATTGTTGCGGGAGTAACAGTCCTTGACCGGTCAAAACAATCCGGGTCGTTCCGGTATAAATACATGACTGTCGCGGGAACGATTGGATTTAGTCGCCTTAAAGCGGGTAAATTTTTGAACTCCAACCCGCGGGGATTTTTCATTCATTGCATGCAGAGATTGGCAAAATTATTATTATTATTTTTTCGTTTATGTTTTTATTGCTTTAACTTGAAAATTTCAAGAATTATGATCTTAAGATTGTTACCGACAGTTTGCAGAATGTTACAATACCAATGAAGGATATTTATGATTTTGCACTGTAATGGGTTCGCTTACTCTGGCCACTTTGTTTAAATTCGCCCTGTGAATTTTGAGCATCTGATGATGTTTTGCTGCACGCAAAGTAAATTTATATCAAAAATAAAATAAATGCAATTTTTGGGAATAAAATTTCAAAGTTTATATATCAAAGGCTCACTTATGTCTTTCTACGCTGTTGCCCGGGGTCACAATATTGGCATATATGATAGCTGGTAAAGTAAAAAAAATTTTAAATATACAATAAGTTCGAAATTAATTTTTAGGGCTAAGTGCGAAGAACAGGTAAAAGGTTTCAAGAGTGCTAGGTATAGAAAATTCAAGACACGGTCCGAAGCCGAAAATTATATCAAAAATCTCTCTGGTCTTACTGTTGCGGGAACTAAGGTTCGAGAGCATGCGTGTTTTTGGCCAGAAGATGAATGTTTTGAGTTAAATTCATTGGAAGATTCGGAATTGGTACATATTAAATGTATTAAATTGGTAGTTAAGTTTTAAAGAATCTTTACATTTTACAGCTTGCTGCAGCTGCTGAGGTAGAAAAAACTACGAAAGGTAAAAATAAAAGAACGGCTAGTTCTGCTGAAGACCACGAAAAGGCCAAAAAGAAGTTTCCTGTTCATGTTTCGAATTTCTGGAAACCCGTAGCACACGAAACCATAAAGGGATTAAGTTTTGAAATTGATTCTGAGGGCTACGTTATTGTCTATACAGATGGTTCTTGTATAAACAATGGTCAGCCTGATGCCTGCGCTGGTTTGGGTGTATATTTTGGCGAAAATCATCCATTGTAAAGTTGTGTCTATTTCGATTTATTTGAATAATTTAATTTGAAATGATTACATTCAGGAACGCGTCAGAACCAGTTACCGGGCGAGTTACCAATAATGTGGGCGAAATACAAGCTGCCATTCATGCCATTAAATCGGCCAAAAGCCTTGGGATCAAAAGCTTATGTGTTAGTACCGACTCTCAATTCCTTATAAATTCTATTACATTGTGGATCAAAACTTGGAAACAAAACGAATGGCGCCTGAAAAATGGAGAACCCGTAAAAAATGAAGTTGATTTCAAAAAGCTTGATGAATTGTTAGCTGATAAAAGTATTCGAGTGAAATGGGTAAGGAATAATTATACTAATCTTCGAATATGTAATTGAAATTATTTCTTATTTTTAGAACTATGTAAAAGGTCATAATAAAATCGTTGGCAACCAAATAGCCGATAAATTGGCAAGAGAAGGGTCGGATATGTACAGGCGTCTACATAATTGAAAGAAAGAGCATAGCATAGTTTAGCATGAATATTTTTTAATGTTGTGATATATAACGATAATGGTAATAAATAAATATTTCGTTATTATAATGGTTACACCTATGTGAGTTGCCGAATGGAGTTTGATGGATAAATATGTAAATATTGTGATCGTTAACGAGAAAAAAAAGATCATCCAAAGTTATTATTTTAAACGAAAATTAAAGAGGTCAACATTAAATTTTTATATAATGCACTTTACACAAATGAAAGGGTACATATTTCAACAATGACTTTAAATCATGGGAATATAACGAACATTTGCAAATATAACATTTTCGTACTTGTTGGTTTACGAGGACAAGTCAGTTCGATAAGTGTAAACTAATTTCAATGCATTCTTTGTTAGTCTGAGTTTGCACGGGGATACTTTTCAATATAACATAGTATTTACGTTCTCTGCTATAAGTATCCTCAAAGAAGGTGTATGAATCAAAGAACGTATATGACAAACTATTTAATGTTGACAAACAGTAAATTTCTAGTTAGGGAAAAAGTCAGTTAAATCTGTACTAAGAAAGTGCCGTTTTGATATTTCATTACTTGCTAATTCTTACTGACATTTCTCACCGAACAGAGCTATTAACCGGTAGCGAAATGTCAAAGTTGTGGTTTCTCAGTGAAAACGGAGAACGTAGAATAATATACGTTCGCTGGTGAAAATTTCACTTTGGTTTTGTCTACCCGGACGCGGTACAGTTGAAATTGGTAACAATTGTTACTGCATAGCAGACCGCCGAACATACTAAATTTGCCGGCAAACATCGACAGAGTTTGTCTGAATAAAGCGAAATTTGTAAAAAGATAGTTATTTGCAATGTTTCTTGCAATGATATATTTGTTGTTATTGCTTATTGTGTTGCCAAATAGCAATAGTTGCAATCAATTACCTTCAAAGCCTATTGTTGGGTTGCAGTTAAGCGAAGATGGAATGCATCGGTAACTGAGATCTTATCTCAAATTTAAACTCTAATTTAATAATTTTGCTTCCAGAGAAATTATATACACGGTCCAATTCGCTGATACGCTTATTGACAAAAATTGTCAATACGTTCTGGAACAGCTGCTGCCTGCTGGTGTATACATTAGTGTTGACCAATTAGATGAACTTAAGCGGCTAAAAAAAGTAAGTATAATATTTTAATTTATTAGATATCTTTGAACCTTTTTTTTATATTTTAGTTAAGTGCAACATATCCGAAGTTCATTGACATTGAGTCACCAACGGAGAAGTCAAGCCCCCTTAACGTATTGTTATATGGCAAATCGCAATCAATTGAGGTCTTCAAATTGCCTATACACTACCGCTACCATCTTCCAAGTAAAAAAAACAAGTAAGAAATTGTAAATCTTTAGTAAATTTCTTTAATTTATAACATTTTTTCAGCAAATTTGCCACTGTTGAAATACCCATTCCAAAATTGTACATTAAATGCGAAATACAGGAGAATAATTCGATTGAAGATCTAGTAGAAACAGCATCTAAACATAATTATTGTCAGAGTGAAGCTAGTATAAGTTTTATAGTACGATTTAACGAAAATGAGAGCAACTCAACCCCTGATTCCAGTCTTCAGGTTCATGAAAACTGCGATTGGTATTTAATAGATGTTCATATTCAACTTAAAACGGATCTACGTGCTGATATACCTATAGGAAATGAAAAAGCCTTTCCACCTATTCTGTATGCTACTATAATATTAAGCTGGATTATATCCTTGTACACTGTGTCACGCACACATGTTATACCTCGTCGTATTAATTATAAATTAGAAGAACAACGAATATTACAAAATAAGATAAAGTAATACTACACAAATTTATGCACATAAGAATTTACAAGTACATATATGTATATAAAAATAGTTGTAATCTCGATTTAGACGGAGTAAGATTTATTTTACTTTACTCTCTTCTTGTATAAGGCTTATCCAAAGAATTAATAATTATGAAGCTGAAGTAATATCCAACTTGAGAATAGTATAGGATAGTTTAGATCAAATGTTAAAGGTATATGGGAGTAGCTAAATGAGTGTATTTCATATCACATAGCTATGAATTTTGCTGTCAATTTATTGTTCTAAAAAGAGAGATATGTAAATTTAAAAACTTTTAGGTTATTTTTATGGATTGGGCAGAGCACACTTCAATTAGAATGTTGTTGTTGTAACCGCAAAATTATTCCCCAAAGTACTTTTTGGGGAATGTTGCAGGGGTGACAGTCCTTGGCGGGATAAAAATCCGGGTCGTTCCGGTATAAAGACTCGACTGTTGCGGGAACTATTGGATTTTAGTCGCCTCTTACGACAGGCATGCCTTACCGCGGGTAAATTCTTGAGCCCCTAACCCGCAGGGGATTAAGCTCCAGTCGTCGGTCATGCTTTCGTCAGACCATATTCTGCGTGCACCTTGCTCTTCACCGCCATGTTTGAATACTTCCACCGGCAGGTATTGGAACGTCGTTATCGATTGTGGTTTTGCGTTCACCATCTCCGGAATCTCCATTTTCACTGCCATTCAGCAGGCTAGAGAAGTGTTCCCACCATAAATTCATAAAATTCTGGGCATCGGCTAGATATCCTCTTTGGGTCCTAAAGTAATCTGCTCCGGACTTGAAACCTTTTGTAAGTCGTGGTATCTTCTCATGGAATTTCCGAGCGATACCCTTTGTCGGCCAGCTTCCCAAGTTCTTCCCACTCTTTCTTTTTTTGTCTGCAGATGCGTCTTGCTTCCCTCTTTAGCTCTCGGCATCTATCCCATCCCAGTCAGGCATCAGCGGGCAGTCTGTTTTCTCTTCACTGCGACACTGCAGTCTTCATCGTACCAGCTGTTTTGCGACCTTTACAAAATCTAATAGTTTCGATTGCTTGTCGGGACGGTGCTTGTAAGTATGTTCCACGCGTTCATAAAAGGCATCTTTGGCCAAATCGTCCCTCTCTTGTGTCGCGGCGTGGGCGCTGTAGTAGATGTCACAAGAACCTACTCGCTTTCGTCCTTGTCCCATCCATTGCACTTCTTTGAGAGCGTGATGTCAGTCTTTAGTTTAGCGAAGACACCAACCAGCTGGGCAGCGGCACCTTCCCAGTTAAGGTACCCGACAAATCAGGTGCATGTCCTCAAATCATGATCCTTTAAACGTTTGCGGGTCGTCATCGTAAGAGGGTCTATCATCCGAGCCATGTAAAGATTTTTCGTTGGGCAGGTTTCTATGTGGCGGGCCCCAAAGCCAGCGCACCACCTCGCTTGGGGAATGAGTTTAAAATTTGTACACATTTATATAGCGAACCGCTTGCTTCAAGACTGACTCCCGCTCGCAGTCGCACCTCTGGGAACCGTCGCTGCCATGACTTCAGTGGTCCCTTAAACCGAATAAGTCCGAGTGGCTCCGTTGAAGCTCCTCTCTCATTAGCCGTGACCCAAGGGTCCACATGGGTTGGTAACCGCATCTTGCACAAGGGTTGCTCACATTCCCAAGGTTCGCGACGGGGACGCAAGAGTAGAAATTTAGTATAGCTTGGCAGCTGTAATAGCATACCCAGAAGCTTGACTTCACCCCACCACACCCCCGTATCATTCATCATGTTGAAATCGACTTGATATGCTAATCGTCGAGATCTAAAAAAAAAAATAATTTAGACTCTAATTGTTTTATCATTTTCAGAAGAATGTAAATCAGTTATATTTACATACATATGTACGTATGTAATTTACTTTTATATCGACTAGCAGACTGAAGCCATAGAGTTGCAGTTCTTTTTTTATTCCATATATTTTTGTAAAGAAGGTGATTAGTATAAGATTACGAATATGATTTTAATCTAAGGGATTGCTAATTGAGATAATAGGTCCATAATTGATCTCCTTTAAGGCAGTTGCTTCAACCACGTTTGCGGTAATTTTTCTGATGACTAACTGTGTATCCCTACATACCTTTGTTCCAATCAAGTTACTCAATTTCCGGACGTTCTATTTGTCAACATTGGAATTTTTTAGGTGTAATAATTCCACGATTATTACTAGTCCTAGTAAATACGAATATCTGGGGATTAATTAGTTTTTGAATGAATTGTTTCATAATTCGACAGACCGTGCATTCGATTTTGTAGTCTCCAATATCCATTAACTTTCATTGTATTCTATTTGCGATTATACATTTGTATACAAGAGATGTGACAATTAAGTAATGAGACTGATTATATCGCGGCGAAAAAAGAGCGATGATTATTGCCTCTTTTGATAGCCGTGGAATCATCCACAAAGAATTTCTTCCACCGGGGCAAACCGTAAATCAAGTCTACTACTGCCAAGTACTTGAAAGATTGCGAAAACGAGTCAACTGGGTGCGACCAGGCATCGCTCGTAACTGGATCCTTCATCACGACAATGCATCGTGCCACACCGCTCTCAGGATAGCCGTGCTGTAATAACTGCCTTATTTGCCCAATATGTCTTTTGTTTCCTAGAACAATGTCGGTGGTCGCATTTTGAGTCGAGTGAGGACATCCAGGCCGCCGTGATGAGGGTACTCGCGGACATCTCAGTCGAAGCGTTGCGAAGCATGGAAAACGCGCTGGAATCGTTGTGCAGCTGCCCAAGGAAACTACTGTAAAGGGGATGGCGGAATTGTACAATAATTTTGAAATATACGGTATGGAAAGTTTTTGACTGTCATTCAATTGGGAATGACCTGACTTCCGGGCTTAGCCCAAGTGTCCTCTGGGTAACCAGTGAGAAGACGAATCCTCCTTCCGTCGTGCGTATACTGCCCGATGTCTCCTTCTGAAATCTATAAAGCGTCCATATAAAGTTGTTTGAATTTTGGAAGAAGAGAGACCTCCGTGTATTAACGTTTGGCAAAAATCCGCATCAAAGCGATATACAAAATGAACATATTGCTAATTTGGACCTACGCTCCAATGAAAGAGAAGGACGATGTAACCAAAGACGCTTTTCATGAGCAATGCCTCTGCCAAGATCGTCCGACCATATTCCGCAAAGTAACTCTGCCGGTAGGCCGTCCGAAAGCGGCTTTGTTGTTCTTTAGGAGGCTTTTTCTCCACTACGACACGACAGTCCTCATCGTACCAGCTGTTTTTGCTACCTTTTCTCTTATTATGTGTACATACGTCACTGTAGTATAAAAGTAAACTGAAGGGGTATCTACGTTTTTGATCTAGATTTATTTGTCACTTCTTATACTCAATATTTTTCCTTAACCTATCAGTTCGCAACAAGGATTCTTTATAAGATGAAATCGACTAAGGAATCTCAATTCACTCAGCTAAAATTATAGCACCCGCCGTACTTTGTCCTGTGGTACCAATGGTCTGTGTTCTTGTGGATGAGTTTACTAGGTCATTCCATGGTTGGACCGTTGCTTGACCGAAAACAATGAACAAAAAGTTGCCCACTAAATAAATGCCGGCCGTAATAAAGAAAACAATTCGCCATTCCCCTGGATCCTCCTGCGAGTATATACATACATACAAATGTATTTTATAGAAGCGAAAGTTTAACTTAAAGAAAATTTCAATTTCAAATTTGATCTAACCTCATCAGCAACAATGGCACCCACAATCAGTGGCGCAAAAAGCGACATAAAATTGGCTACACCATTCGAAATAGACATCATCGTCCCGGCGAAGTTCGGAGATAGATCCATATGATTTACTAAGTATCCACAAAAAGCGGCAGAATTGAAGCCCACGCCAATAGTTAGCAAAATGATAGCCTCTACACGCTCGTCACTCGTCATATAGCTCATACCAACTAAACAAGCCATAGGTATCCACTGACCAATTGTGTTGAAGAGTTTGCGAGCAGTTGTTGTGCTCAGAATTTGTTTATTTATGAGCATATCCGAAATGGGACTAACAATCAAACATAATAGCCACATAACGAAATACGGTAGGGCCGATAGTAAGGCATTCGATGCAACATTTAACTTAAGCACGGAATTCATGTAGGTTGGTATTTCGGTAAGTAATGTGTAAAAGCCCCATGTGAAACCTGTTTGAGCAGCTATAAGTCCGTAAAACGGTGCTGATGTGAAGAACGACTTCCACGGTACAGTCATTGACTAAAGGATTAATTAAATGTCATTTTCAATATCATAAAAAAGTGTTCTGTAGAAAATTCCATTTCATATTATCACTTACCGCACTCTCTAAGCCGCTGCCCGTTAGTTTTTCAATGTATTCACGCTCCTGTTTTGATATCATCTTTGAGTTATGAGGCGCATCCGCGCCAAAAACTAAAAATAAAATCGACCAAGCCAAAGCAATAGCACCGGAAATATAGAAAATACCCGGCCATCCCATACTGGAGTCGAAGATGAAACCGCTTGTTGCCAATATAATGGCCGAGCCTACTTGCGCTCCTGAATACACCGATGTAGCCAGAAAACTACGCTCAGTTCGTGGTGCCCATTTGGCTAAGAGAGTATGTATAGATGGATAGAGAACACCTTGGGTCAGTCCGATAAGTACACGGAGAGCACAGATTATTTGCCAACTACCACCAGATGCACCCAACGGATGTAGTATGGTTATCACAGAAGCAAGAACTGTGGCGTAGCCCAGGACTAGTTTACCTCCGAAACGTTTGGCGAGCATACCCGATGGCACTTGAGCTACGACGTAACCCCAAAAAAAACTACTCAAAATTAATGATTTTGTTGAGGTATCCCAATCGTAATATGCATCGCCGTCTGTCCGCGAACTCGTCATGGGCACTATGGCAGCAGATATATTAACACGCAAGAAGTAACCAAACACCATACCGAAGAACATGAGCAACGCTTGCATATGGCGAATACCGAAGGCATTTTCTGTAGGTAGATACAAAGAAAACGAATACAATTTTTTTCATTAATTTTTAAGCCTTCCTATATCTACTTTCTTATAACTAAGTACATACATATCTACTACTATTATACGACTCTTATTTGGAGTAGGTCTTTTTGACAGCAACAGCACTGCGCAGCTGTATGGCATATGAATACATTTTTTTAAGGAAACTTTTGGTGAGCTCATTTTCTCCCGCCGTGTACCTGAGGCCCAAGGGGATTGCTGCGAAAAGTGGTCGAAAATCAGTACTCTCGGCTGGAATTTTTTCGAACCAGCCGCGGCCACTTGCCCGAACCCTTTTCTTTATTTATAATAAAGCTAAATTCCTGTCAATAGCATTAAATTAAATGCGTTTTAACTCTTCTGGCAAACCATATAAGAATCTCGATTTTGAAAATTTTTCTGTTAATGAAATTCGAACAATTAAGAAAAAACAAAATAATAAATTGCCCATTCACTACTACCAGGAGCCTAAAAAGTGTGTTAATTTAATCAGTGCGTCAATTGCACAACTCTTCATTTAGCTGACTAAACAGGTTTTAAGTAACTTTTTAAAGAAATAATTCTTTATATAAATAAATTCGAAGCCAGATAGAACTTCAGCGTGACTAACGGAGTGGTTTCGGCATCTAAGATACATACGAGTACAGATGTAAGTACACAACAATATAAATTTTTGAGAAAATACATCAGTGCGTGCATCACAATTGGTATTTATTTTTTGTTTCAAGCTTAACTGAATATTTGGCTATAAAATAAGGTACGATTCTCTGATTACAAACTTACTATTATTTATTTTTACATCCACTTAAAATGAAACAAAAAAATTACCGTCTCCCATGAATGACAAGTACTGATAAGCAGTAAAACTTGAGTTACGCAAACATTGCTTTTATTTCTATTGATTAACCACTTAATTTTATGATATAGGACCGAGTATGTGTGGCAAATTGTAATTATTTAAAGGAAAAAAGTTATTTTGTATAATAGAGGCACTGTCTGCATGGTGAGAGGTTCCTTGAAGATTGAAAACGATCCCGCTCCGGGCGACCCTCGGGGTCGGTAAAAAAAGTGTGTAAAAGTTATGGTATAGAATGACTTTGGGAAAAAACCTGTTTTAAGTGCATCGTACTACTTTACTGACAATGTTTCAGTTCTGGATTTTACTGATATTTTTTGTAAGTAAGAAGTTCGACTTCTAGTGTCATGCTATGGATGGCTTAAAGAGATTCGTCGGCTACAGCGTGTGTGCAAGTGCCAAATGAAAATATCTAAGTTGGAGCGAAATGTACGTGTTTTGCTAAACTTCTCCACTCTTGTTTTTATTTTAAATGTTTTATGAAATACTTATGTTTTTCAACAATAAAAATATTACTTTGATCAAAAATAACAAATTTCTCCAAATAAAAAAATAAATTTAAAAAATGATCAGGTAATTGCTTAACAAGCGCTTGTTTAATGTTATATTCGTGCATTTGCCACACATCCGCTCACAGACATATACAGCTGACAAGATGGCTGTGAGATGCCATGCAGGAATAATCCCACCCAAGGTCACTCAAGCAATCCCCATGTCGTATGTCGTGGCTATAACGTCAACGAAAAAGTTACCAACCGATATCCTTATAAATGACACTCAAATCAATTCGAAATCTAACATTGAAAATCTTTTTTTGATACACGTACGTTCGCATACACAAAAATTTGAATAATTTTATACTTGTCGCGTGTTCATATATGATATTTTAGGGCACTAACTTTTTAATATATTATTTTGCACACATATATATGTATGTACATACATATATTAATTTATATTTACTCAAGGTTCTTACGTTTATCACTCTCAGCACCGGTTTCTCGTACTTTTACAGATTTCCTAAAAACCATTATCTCAACTAAATACTTTTACAATATTTACTTTGTCTCTATTTGTCACTAATTGTTTTATGAGTTTATTGCTTTTATCTATTACGGTGTTTTAAGTACTTTAACTTCTTCAAACTAATAACGACTCGTTTCAAATTCAATTTGTAATCAAACAGGTCTCTTCCTTCTGGTTTTGTTTTTATTTTTTGACGTAAATCGTAAATTTAGAGTGTTGGCGAATCGATCCAGCACTCTTTGGAGAACGCCTTCAACTGACTGAAACTCTAACTTAGCAATTGACTTTTATCTGAATAAAGTAATAATCTAACTGATATATCTAGCTATGTACATACAAACATATCTACTTAGATTCTTAGGTTAGTGTTTATCGGATTGTACGTCGTCTATGTTTATTTTAAGCATATCAAAACTCGTTGATTAATTTACAAAGTTAATGAGTCTCCGAAAGTGGTCGCTGCACTAGAGTAGCCAGGGCCAATAATTTGAGGAGATGGAGGTTAGATCGTGGAAGTGTTCACTAAGGTAAACAGTATGGATTCTATTATCGGTCTTGAAGGATCCGGCGGTGAAACTATTCTATATCCAGCTGGAGCTTGGATTCAGGCGTTCGAGATACAATTCACGAAGAATTGGACGAAGAATTGTTGTTATTTCAATCAATCAAACAATGAAAATAGACTTTTTCCCTGGATTAAACTTATGCAAGCCTTAAGAGTTCCGTCCAACAACTGATCCAACAACAACAGCAAATGGGCAGGAAGACCTTTTAGCTGAAGAGGATTACGGCTTAAACATATGCTTGGTAGCAGAGGAATGTTAGCCATGATAGTGGTGGCAGTACGAAACGAAAGGAATTGATAATGTCATGTAGGTTAATATCCCTGCAAGATGGCTTCCGATCATTTGAGCCAACCTATGTCAGATAATAATACAACAAAAAATATTATAAGCAAAACCGCATATACAGAATTTTTTAATAGTGCCATGCGTTGGTGTTGCAGCTTCTCAGCTCGATGAACGCCTCCGTCATAATCGCGCCTCCTCTGAAATATAAAGAAGTTTAAGAAAAAAAAATAATAACGGTCTTAATGTCTAACTTCAGCTTCTACTCGGAAATAGGAACATAAAATAAAACTGATTATCCGTTCAACTGCATTCTTCTTCAATTTGTATGTACTCAGAAGAGAAAGATATACAGAAAAAATGTGCATATGTGTTAGTGCTGCCCGAAATCGTCTGAGAGTGTTGGTGAACCCATCAGCCTGTTCTTGCAGGGATGCTAAGGGCCGCTTTCATCATCTCCGAAGATAACAGAAAAATTTGTTTTCACAATTAAGGAGCTATCTGGCTGCAATTATTAAGAGGCGTATTTATGGGAAACGAACGCGCCATACACAAATAATATTCGTAGATTACGTGTTTCCAAATTATTGTTGATAGTTTATATGTTTTTTCTGGAATCAAGCACTTAGAAAGTTTTTTAATATGTGTTGCTGATATGTGCGAAATTGCAATCGCGGCACTTGTCGGCTTTTTTCGCCGAATAGCGAGAGTATATAGATGGCACTCATGTCAGAATCCATTCACCAGGAGAAGAAAATTCCGAAATTTTTCGAGACAGAAAAGAGTACCGTTCTTTCAACGTACAAGCTGTCTGTATTGCAAAATGGAAACAACGAACCTTGTATGCAGGTGGTGTGGTTGTGTGTTTACAGTACCGGTTTCAGCAAAACGAATTTGGGGACTGTTTTTTTTTTTGGTCACAGGGCTTATGGAGTTTGCAACTAAATATAGTGCCTACACTTATATCTCAACTACAAGGAAACCCTATTGTAAAATCTAGTTTATTCAGAGATTATTTTGGCAGATTGCTTTATTTTTATACGAAGCTTAACCGCATTTAGAACTATTGTTGTCTTCTTTCAGGCTATAATAACATACATATCCGTTCACCCACCCACACCCAGCTCTACTTCTTGTCCCGCTTTGTCTGATGACACATATTAGAAACGCCCTCCTGACATAGACTACACCACCAGGTCCGATACAACTCTAGAATGCCAGAGCTTAGATATCCGGTCAGCTGATATAAATGGGCTATTCGCAGACGAAAACTGACTGGTATGAAGCTGGTATAGCAGATATACGATTCGACATTCCGCACACTGAAGTGTGGAAAAGTTGTCTGGCGTGCCGAAATGCGTGAATGCGACCAAAATTTCATTGAATTAACTTACGCTGCCCCAATCTTTCGCTTGGCTTATACCGTCTTTTCGGATAAAAGTATTTATCTTAATATTTTTTCTCTTATTGCCAGTTTATTAGTTCTGCATCCGATCAATGCGATTTGAATGAATTTATATGTGTTTGAATCTGGCAGCTTAAAAAAAAAATCCGAAGTTTCGATTACGTGACCTTATTCAGGTTATTTTTGTGTATAATTGAGTAGCTGTGAATGCAACCCTGCTCGAACAGCTGAGAATGCATTTACTGAAATACTAATTTTCAATAGAAAACTTAAATATTATTTGTGCTACAAAGCTAATGGTATTGTTTATCAATTTTCATTATTATAAAATTAGAAAGTAAAAAAAAACGTGGACTTATTTTCCTAAAATGTCCATTAATTCGTGTTGTAATGAAGGGGAACGCAATAAGATACCAAGGATTATGACGTTCCGACCAAGCTATGAAGAATTTAAGAATTTCTCTAGTTATGTAGAATACATGGAACGACGTGGTGCACATTTAGCAGGATTAGCGAAAGTGATACCTCCGCCAGAATGGGTAGCACGTAAATCTGGATATAATATAGATAACATTAACATGACGATACCAGCACCCATTTGCCAAGTAGTATCAGGTAAGAAATTTCCGTCAATAAGTTTAGGGTGGAGCCTTTTTGCTTATTGCATGCTTATTTGCTTCAGGTAAACAAGGTGAATATCAGCAAATCAATGTACAAAAACGTTCTATGACGTTGAGACAGTTCAAAGAAATGGCAGAATCGGAACGATATCAAACGCCGCGACATTTCGACTATGACGATTTGGAGCGTAAATATTGGAAAAATGTAACATACATAGCACCATTTTATGCTGCAGATGTAAAAGGATCACTCAGTGACCCAGATCTACGTGTTTGGAATATAAATTGCCTGGACACTATACTGAATTACGTGAATAAAGACTATGGCATTGAAATTGACGGTGTAAATACTGCTTATCTATATTTTGGTATGTGGAAAAGCTCTTTTGCTTGGCATACCGAAGACATGGATTTATATTCTATAAACTACCTCCACTTCGGTGCACCTAAAACTTGGTATGCAATACCACCAGCTTATGGTAGGCGTTTGGAGACATTGGCGAATCGTCTTTTTTATGAAAATTATCAAAATTGTAACGCTTTTCTTCGCCATAAAATGACACTGATAAGTCCACAGGTGTTGCGTCAAAACAAAATACCATTTAATAAAATCACACAGGAAGCCGGTGAAATAATGATAACATTTCCATTTGGTTATCATGCCGGCTTCAACCATGGCTTCAACGGTGCAGAATCAACAAATTTTGCTTCAAAACGCTGGGTGGAATATGGCAAGCGTGCGAGTATTTGTAATTGTCGAAAGGACATGGTGAAGATATCAATGGAAACATTTGTGCAGCGTTTTCAACCCGAACGCTACGAGAACTGGCTCAAAGGTATCGATTTTGGTTGTCATCCAGAAGAACCAGGAAAAATTTGTGCAGCTCCACCACCCACGATTAATAAATATTATTACGCAAAAAGGTAAAAAAACTCTTACTGCAACTATATAATTTAAAGTATATATAATTGATTTAATACACAGAAGACAGTCTGAGTCAACTGAGTCCATAGCAACACAAAGCTCCACTTCCAAGACCAAGGATACTTTGCAGAAGCGAGGATGTTCTTCGCTTGCTGTGCCGGAAGATACCACCAGTAATGCTTGCTTTGCAAAAATACCCAAAATAATTCTAACTAAAATAGATAGTGCTAGTAGTAAAAATTTAGATTTTAATGCTATTGCAGTAGTGCGACTTAAAAGACTTTGGGATAACATACCATGCGAAAAAGAAGGAACCAATCTTCTTACAAACGGCATAATAAAAAATACCAAAAGGATGCGCTTTCAAACGAAAACTATAAAATTGGACGACGAGGAATAGTCTCATGATACATTTTTATTTATGTTTCATTGTTTATGATATATAAATATATTCTTTAAGTCGTATCATGAGACTGTAACCCCAGCTTGAGTATTATGTGCTAGCAATTTTAAGAATGAAAAAAAATTGTTTTTGGTCATTATCAAATTGGTACATATATTGACTATTGTACGCGATCGATTTACCTCCTTACGTTCAGTTATGTAATTGACTTTTTGTATCTTTTTTTTTATGAATTTCTCTTAATTAAGTTTTATATATGTATGTATTTTCTAGATTTTTTTTTACGTATTTGTATATTTAAAGATGTGCGACTTTCCCTCAACTTAAGCTTTGTTTATATTTCTTATATAAAAACTTATAATTTAGTTATAATTTAATACAAATTTAGATTCATACGTGAAGACGTATGGTTGTTAGGTTAAGTTGTACAAGGCTGACCTAGAATTAGGTGTAGTCATGATTTTCAGTTTCCGTAGACCTTAGCGTTTCTTTAAATAAATTGGTCAACCAAACGTTTATAAGTTTCGTACCGAGCGTTACGGATTCTCAGATTTCGTTATTTTTTATGAATCGAAATTTAACTTTCCTCTCACATATGTAGGTTGTGCCATGCATTTTCGAAAATGCAAATTCCTGTTTAAGTCAAGAAGCCGGAAAAGTCCTTGTACAACAACACGCAATCAATAGGGTTTGGATTATATAAAACTGTTTTATGGAAGCTTTTTCCAAAAACTTTTTTCGGTTGTAATTTTGTGTGAAAGTCATCTGATCCCTTTTTTTTTAGAATAGTAAGAATGTATGAAATTAATTTTGTAAGAATTTGTAATATACAACAAATACACAAACTCAAATTCAATTTAAATACTCGGAACGAGCTTGAAGTCTTTATCTGTTGAATACATGGTGAGTTGATATGGTTAACTATGTTTCTTTATTTTTTTTCCTCCCATACATCAGCATTTACCATTCGTAAATTTCAAGGATCTACGGAAACGTTGGGTTTGTTTCGCCTAAATATGAATAAAATCTATTCAGTTGTTATAAATTATTTCCTTTCAAAAATATGCCATTTGCAAAATTAGTTAACTTATTCGTATTTATTTCTGAATGTAACATGCGTTCGTGAAGTTCGAAATTGGATAAAATGTTAATTTAACAAAAAATTGAAATATGAAATAATTCTCATCGACCGGTCTTACACGTGTCGTCTACGTTGTGCCAATGCGATTGATTGTATTTAAGCCAAATAACTATAAGTGTCCTTTTGCCCCTCCATGCGCTCGAGATACTCCTTTTCGATTAGAATATCGATGCATTTCTTAATCACTTGCACCTTGGGTTTGAAGCGAGACGCCAACTGATTGAGTACCTCCGTTATAAGCTGAGTATGATTAAGCTTCTTACGCATTTTCATAATTCGGACAATGGCGGCCTGTATCAGTAATTTACGATCCTCTTCAATGTGCTTATGCACTGCTTCTTGCTCCACTTTGAGCTCAGTCTTTAACGGTTGGTTGATGTTAATCCGTAGCTTTTTATTTTTATATTCCAGGAATAGCTCCATCACAGAATTAGGATTGAGCGAATTCTCATCATCGGCACATACAAGCAGCTTAGCTTTCATTAAAATTTGCAGGACCTGATAATCACAAAAGTAATAAATGTTGTAATTCGAGAAATTAATTATAATTAAAAAATAAAAAACATTACCTGTTTTAGGTTCTCCAAACTAATTTGGGTATTTTCTTGCAATTGTTGCAGAGTGAATTTAGTTTGATCATTGAATTGCAACAATACAGCCATTTGAAACGTGCTTGCTTGTAGTGTATATCTATTGCGGAAACAATTGGTCACCAAATCCCCTTTGCACAAATTATATAACCAATTTAGTTTGCGACCTGAGTGACGATTTGCGTAGAACTCATTAAACTGCTGTACAGAGCGTTCTAGCTCAGAGGGTAATAGAAATGTGGTACTCTGATTAAATGGCCATGAGCCGGATGACAATACTTCAATGCTAAAATCTATTTCTTGTGGTATTCTTGCACTAACTAAATGTTGCTTGAAGCTCGCGTTCAAATCCTTGGATAGACCAATGTCTTGGAACATACGTTGCAATTTGATTGTATATTCATAACCACAAGTTTGTTTCAATTTTGAAATCATTATCGCCTCTGCATCATCTGAGGCTGAGGTGTGGTATACTAGACGCTTGGCAAGCATTTTTGAATAGAACTTTTGGAAAACATCTTTGTCTTCAATATATTTGAAAACCACCATTACTTGGTTTAAATTATCTTCGAGTTCTTTGTCTTCAGGATTCTTGGAAGATTTTTTCAGCAATATATCGCAGTATTTGGCAAGTAATTCCGGCGATTTATTTGCGCTATTCACTTGTGTTACTTCATTTAAATTGATGAATTTCTCACATGCTTTATCTAGTGCTGCCACAAAACCGTTATCATTGTTGAATGCCATTACTACGAGCCCATGATATTTTTTATGAACTTCTAATATAGTTTGCACATATAATTTCGGATCGTTAGCTGCTTCGGCACCAGCTTTTTTTATGGCCTCCGTGCCTTGTTCCAAAATGTGCTCACCAAGCAATAGTTTAAAATCGGTTAAGTTTTCCGGATTACGTGCAACTAAACTGTACATGCGTTTCAAGTCGTCATTCTTATCGTCATTAAGAAATTTCTGAAACTCGCCACGAAGCCTTACCAAATGTTTTTCAATCAATGCCTACGAGGAAATACAATAAATTTTATTAAAAAGTACTTATTGAAGTTGTGATATTATAATAGTATGTAAATTTTTTTTTTTACCAAAAATAATACCTGTTCGCACGTCTTGATTAGTACATTATGCGTGCTTTCATGTAAATAAGAAAACTCGTCACGATTCACTCGTTTGCTTTCTTCGTCAAGGCGATCTTCAACATGCTTTAAATAATCGGACATTGTACAGTTGTTTAGATACACTTCCGACTCTTTCTTGTAAAACTCTGCAGTTTTTGAAATAAATTTATTCTCGAAATGATCCTTATAAACAGATAATTTCTTGGAATTATCCGAGTCTGTTTCTTCTTCATTGAACCCAAGCTCCACATAAGAATTTATGACACTCTTTATGAGGTGGCGGTTAATCGTATGGGAGTTACGTTCCTCTTCAATGGAACGCAGTACAGCATTTGTTACCGATTCATTCAAGTTTTCGAATAGGTTTTCTTTCCACGTAACTAGAGCTAGTCGGTATACGTCATAAATACCCTTTTGGCCCTCCTCGCATTCTCGCTTCACCCAATGTCGATTTAAATAACTGCAAATTCCATTTAACACCTTGCTTGAAAATTGATATGACTCCCACTGTTTGGTGTAGTGTGTCAGCCTAATTTCTTCACCCTGAATATATTCAAACGCTTTCTGTAACCTAGTTAAATAATTTTTGAGGAACTCCTTAAGACGGTCGTATAATTTTTTGCCCACAAGCTGTGCGCCGCCTGCTCTGGCCATGGATCGTTGGACAGTATTAACACTCGTACAATAGTTATAAACATATGTGTACAAGTGCATGTAACGTTCTGTTGGCAAATTTGCCTTTTCGGGTTGAAACACCTGCTTAATGCCATCCTCCAATTCAATCCATATATCATCGAGTGTTGTTTGCTTTACTACCGCATTTGGACGCTGCATTTTCTTGGCTATGGGTGTTAACGCGCAAGAAGCGTTGCGTGGATAAGTAGCAGAGTGAGATGATAACGTTGCTTGTTGCTCGTTAGCTGGTCTTTTGACGGCTTTTGAACGCTTTATTTTTAATGAATTTATGATGAGAAACTCTGTAGAAATATATACAATTGAAAATTATATTAATTATACCGAATAATATTGAACAGTATATGTATATACATAGTCATGCTTGCTTACAAAATGATGATAGCTACTTGAAAACAATTTTAATTACTAAAAAAACATTTCATTTTCATTTAATTATTTATTTTACATCTAATGTTGTTGGTGAACCTGAAAGGATTTCATGATTTTTATTTTTGGCTTCTTGTGTATTGAACAGTATATATGCCTAGAAAAATATTATTTAACTAGCAACTTATAAAAAAAAAACATTTGTTTTACTTTTGATTTATATGATGATTTCCTTTCTTGGCTGTTTTGCACATAAAAACATCTGGCAACAGTCTTTCAACTTTCCAAATCAATTAAAGCACACAACACTAGTATGGTCTCCTCACTTCCACCAATATAAGCACAAAATGGAATGAGGAAGTAACACGGAAAGAAAGAGAGGCAATGATTTTCCAGCAATCTTCGAATCAATTTAATTTTTTTATTTTTTCTATTAAATTTTTAATTTATTTATTTTACTGGGGTCAATAATTTTTTGACCTCGGTGCAGTTACAAAGGTTTTTATTACTGTAACACTCTATTAAGCAAATACTAGCTCCGCAGTTTAATCGAAAAGTAGTAACCAGCAAAATAAGGAAAAATAGCCAGAGCACACATGAGCGTTTAGAAATACGTGAACAAACAACACCAACAATTTTTTCTTTAGCTATCTCAAATTCCACATTAAACAATTTTAATTATTTATAACATCTTTGCATGTTTAAATTATTACCTTTTGCACTATGAATTTAGTTTTATAAATACTATACTTTCAATATTTTACAAATTTGTTGTGGTAATAATTCACACATAATTCTCTTTGTATACAAAAATTAAATGACTTCCACTGCCTTCAAAAAACGATGACACACGAAACACGATCATGAAAATCAAAATACAGTGAACTCTTGTTTATGAAGTAGTCATTCTTGCACAATGAACAGATAGCAGTCTCAGGGTTGATATTTCTACTTTCCCTACAAGGCGAATTCAGAGCGGTGATAACAATAATATAAACTTAAGAAATTATAAACGCACAAATATAACTCATCAAATTCTTTAGTAATTACATTCCACATGGTTATGAAAACATTATTAAATTAATATATAATATGCAACTATTCGCCCACTATTATTCCAAAAAGTGATTTCACTATATATGCATATCATAATACATATTGATCGATTAAATATTATTTTTGCCAGTATTTTGCGTGGTTTTAAGATGTTTTGGATCTCTTTCAGTCTTGGTTGGGGTATTCTTCTCTAAAGTGATTAATTGTTTGTAAGCTCGATAAAATAATGAATTCATAATAATGGATAAGTGTTAAATTTTGACTTTTCGCCTTTGTCCAAAAATATTTGTGCTTAATTTAACTGCTTGTAATAAAATACCCAAAATATACCTAAAAATGAAAAGAAAAGAAAATAAGTGCAGTTTTTACTAATTTAAGCACTTCACCAGAGAACGTTTATCAGCTTAAAATTACTTTAAATTCTCTGGTATTTACGTTCCCTGGCCAGAGCATTCCGCAAGGATTGTTGTTCCGAAATACATCAGTAAAATTATTGATTCGCAAACAAAAGCAAACTGCGCATCGCTAAGGATTGTGATACTTTATTTAAACTTAAATTCTTAGTAACATGTTTTAAGCAAGTTTTTTGCGCTAATATTTTTTTTAACTTATATTGCTTATTTTTTTGATCTGTTTTATATTTCAGCCATTTCACCGAGCAACTTATTTGCACGAAAAGAATTCGAAAATATCAGAGTTTTCAAAATGTTGCCGGAAAGCAAATTTATAGAATGCGGGGACGCTTTGTTATGTTGCGGTTTTGCAACAAAGTATTTCGTCGTTTTGGAACTCGCCCCAGAGAACGTATAATAATGTGTTTATACGTTTTTTGCTCGCCCAAGCTTTCAAACAAATGAAATTTTAGCTGTCAGACTGCAGCTGTCAGACTGCAAAGGTGACAGTTGATGGCATGCAAAAAAAAAACTCCGACATTAACGTATGCTATCAGCTGTTACCGGTATCCATTGCTACCTGTCGGAAGGCTAAGGGTGCGAGTCCTGGTTCGGCCATTAAGAAAATTATCTTTTTGATTTCTCTCCTTGGCAGGAAATGTCTCTCTCTGAGTATTTATATTTATATATTCTATCATCCGTTCGAAGAATAAATATTAAGACGCCTCGTACATTGGAGGGGGAGCTAGGCCTAACGGTTACACAGTACTAAATATAATATATTGGAGATGGCAAAACTTACGTCTTGTTTTTTAGATTTCTAATTCCAGATTTTTGGAGGACTTAACAGTCACTCTGCGAGGGTATTCCATCATATTAATTAGGTATTAGTTTGACTTCTATGGTAAGTGTCGATTAGATTGACGTAGTGCGTAGGAGGTATTTTCCCCTCGACTCTTTAATCGAGCGTTATTTGATATGTTTATAGGTTGTTCTCATTTAAGTAAACACTTTCAATGTGTTGATAAATATTTTATTAGTATCACAAATCTTTTACGAATATAAATTGCTATGTAGCGAGAAAAATAATAAAAGGCTTCGATATATTCCTTATATCTAAATTTCAGAATATTTCAAAGCCATTGAATATATTTATTTAACGAAACAAAATATTCGAGGATTGTGTAGTAAAGATTTTCGAGTTATATTTACAAGCCTATTATTGTAATATTGTGGGCGAATATAAAACTCATAATCTTCGAGCTTGTTGGCGTCCAATATCAAAAAGGGTGTGATCTTCGTCCTCACTATTACCATCTTCGATAGAAACAGGCAAAGGAACTAACTCTTGTGTGCTACGATCTCCTTGTACACCGTATTTACGTTCGGCTCGTGACAAACGTAATCTATATATGTGAAGGAGATAGTTAGTTTATATGAGATTTCAGGTTATTTTTAAAGCTTACCTATAAACTCTGAAGACAATGAAGAGCATTGCAGACAAGCTAAGCGCCAAAAAAATATAGAATCCTGTTATATATGACGCTGGCAAGTCATCGTCTTCATAGTCAAAATTAATATCCTTGGTATTGACTTTCGTCTCCTCCACTACATGTTCATAATGCGCTATGGGTGGAATTGTTTTACCAGATTCTATTGGAATTGGTGGTTTTTGTTGTTCTGCCGCAGCTGAGTATTGGTTTTCATTTTTTGTCGTTGTCGATATTTGTACATGATCTTCAAACCGTTCTTTGGGACTCTCATTTGAGACGATAATATGTAAATCTGCTTCCGAGGTTTTACTTACTTCATCCGCAAATACATTTTTGGCATTAAGATCTTTCTTTTGTGATTGTTTCTCTGCGGTAACGGTAAGAGTTATCAAAAATATGCCTAGAAGCAGAGTACAATATTCCATTAACTTCGGTGGAGCCATAACATGCATCTGTAAGAGATTGTTGCAATTATTTCGGTTTACAATATTCTATTTTATTATTTATTCACCTACAAATAAAAAATACACAGTTCAATAAACATTTCTCCTTGTGTTTTTCTAATGAAAGCAGGGTAGCCAGATTTTGGTATTGTGTGGTGCAAAACAGTTTGGGATATTCTCTTAGACTAGGATATGCATGCATGCACAGATTCGTGAAATGGCTCTACTACAAGCCCCATGCAAAAAAAAAAAATATGTCAGGATGGGAAAAACATTCCATTTATATTTATTCCTCACACTTTGCAAAAAGGAAAAATTATCTCTCTGTCAGCTAGTTATCTTTGTCAACTAAGCATGCGAGCAAAAATTTCTTAGACAAGAGAATACCAAGGCGAATTCAAAAAATTAAAAGGCAAGGCGAATTCAAATGAAGTAGTTAACTAATCGAATAGAATATTTAGAATAGGGCTGTATATAAAATAATAAACAAACAAAATGGCTTCTTAGTATTGACATACTTGTCAACCATTCAATCAATGTACAAATGGTAAGAATATTTTTTTTGCATTTGACACAGTTCATTGCATTTTTACATCCTTACAATGGCTCAAAAATGAACTCGGACATCCAAGTTATATGACTTCAAACAAAAACATATATAATATAATACAAATAGAGGGCTTTCTGTTTAACATATATTTCTATTCTTCAAGTGTATTTTTCAAAACAAGCAAAACCACAAACTAAATTTAACTCGGTCGTATGAAAATAATATGAACAGGACAACTAAACAAAACTGATGACAAAAAAGAACTCGAACATATGTATAACATAGAATTTAAAAAATATTATTTAAAGAGAAACAAAATATTCTTAATATTTAGCCGGCAAGCCTTTACTTTTTCTGATATCATTCAGTCTTCTTGGCAGAGATTCAACTAGCTTCATGCATGTTAAAGAATTTACTTTCCCCCACTCTTCCAAAATAGCTGCTTCTAGGTCTTTCTTATTTCTAATAACATGCATTTTCAGTTTATTTTCCAAATGAGCCTACAGATGTTCAATTAAGTAAATGCCGGGAGATTGAGGAGGTGTTTCAAGCACTTTAGGGCAGTTATACATCAGCCATAGACTGACATCAAGTTCTTTATGTTTGGGATCGTTGTCTTGGTAGTACTGGAAATTGTCTTTAATTCCGAACTTTTCCGCACTTTGCACTAAATTTTCTTTCAAAATGGTTAGATATTGCTTGTGGTCCATATTACCATTTATGAAACACAAATTCCCAGTACCAACTTCGAACGTACAAAACCATACCATTACTGAGCCGCCCCCGTGTTTAACAGTCGGACGTATATTCTTTTCTAGCAACTCTTCAGGCGGTTTTCTCCAAACATCTGACCTAAATATTTTAAATTTATTTCATCTGCAAATATAACTTGTTTCCAGAATTGAAAATCCTTATCCCCATGACATTTTGCAAATTATATTCGATTAGCCTCGTTTATAAATGGTTTCTTCCGTGATACTCGTCCATTATAATTATTTTTTCGTAAGATTACTCGGATACTCTCCGGATTACAGTTTATATTGAGATGTTGCAAAACTTCTGTTGAGAGCTTGGGAGTGCTCATGTTTGGATTTTTTTTTGATTTGCTGCACTATCCACCGCTCATCTGCAGCCGAAAACAATTTCGGTCGTCCAGCCTTTTTTTTGTTTCCCACGAATTTTGTTTGAATCGTTTAATCACGTCATGTACAGTCGAGCGGGGTCTGCTCACAATTTATGCGATTTCCCGAATCATTTTTCCCATTTCAAAATGACTAATAATTAACTTCCTTAATACAATTAAGCTTTGTCCACGCTGTCTTCCCATGTTTGAACTTTTCACCTTTTTTTTTAAAAAAAAACTACTGAAATTTTATTCCAAGCTATTACGTTTGATTATATATGTACATAGGTATTTTTAAACAAAAAGAAACTAATTGTGGGATTACCCTTTTTAAAATGCCATGGACCTGTAATATAACCAGATGCCCGACTTCTTTTTTGGCGAAATTTCCAGCATGTCACTTGTTAATTTTTTGAAGTAAGGGTATAGGAGACCTATAAACTATTTAATTTGTTTGTTATTGGAATTTTTTAAATCCTAATTGGATACCCGATAGAAACATAAAAAACAAAAATGCTTAATATCAATTGGTTAGTTGAAGTTGCATGTTAATAACAGTGGAATGTATGTCCGAGTTCTTTATTGAGCCACTGTACATATATGTGTAGATCCGTATATGTGTAAGTACGTATGTGACCTTTATCTATATGCGAGGCCTGAATTTTTTATTTGGGGACCGTTTGCCGTATGCATCGTAGTTTTGAAAGTGAAAACCATATCATGTTTTTGATTTGGTAAACTTTGTAATCCATCGCAAATCTTTTAATGTCTTTAATTTAATCATAAAATATCACTGATGTAGCAAGCTTTCGTTCAAATAAAATTTTTAGCAGTAACACGCGCGTTCGGTGATCCAAAAGCCGAGTAAAATTAGTAATGAGAGAGCGCAATTTTGACGTTTAATTTGGAGAGTAAGTTGCAAGTTCATGCTGCGAAAACTTCAGCCAATAAAAAACAGCAAATATGGAAAACAGTGGATTTGTGGTCATATGGTTGTGTCTTAAGCTTCCAAAAGAGACGACTGTGCATAAAATGAAATGCTAGACTCATTTAAAAAACATGCTCTTTCTTTACATGCTTGGATTTTATTTTAAAAATAATCCAAGAAATTCTAAATTGTTCAATTAACACTTTCGGCTAGTAAGGAAAAAGTACTCCAAACTCATTTGCGTCTTTCAATCATCCCTCCTGAAAATCTAAGCGATAAATTATTGCGAAGTAACTTTTATATAAATATTCGTCCTTTCGCTCTGAAGCATACAGAATTACATCATAACTTTTGTATAATACAATTAACAAGTTAAAAATGCCAGCTGAGTTACCTAGAAACTCGGAAAATGTCTCACTTTCGGAGAGTAAAACATTTTACTCTCTCAATTTCATTATTGGCTAATTTTCGCTGACATTTCTCACTGAACAGGGCTATTGCCGGTTTTCACTGACAATTTTTTTTTGTACATAGAGCTCCTTTATACTGTCAGTATCAGTACCCAGGGGTAGTATGCTAATAAGCAACATTGTAAGGAATTTCTAGCTTATTTACTTCAAAATATCAAAATTAGAAAAAACATGTGTGAAATTCACTTAGTTTATAGAATAAAAAGTTACGACGACCGTTGACGTCACTGAACCAAGTTCGTCATATATACAGTGGGCGAGACTTGATATATATATTATCAAAAAAAAGTAATTTCTTCCACTAAGAAATACTCTGCAGGAACGATTTCGGGCAGCGCTTAGCGGAAAATCGCTTCAGCGTTTACAAAAGCACCAATTATGTACATATATTGGCTCAAATGATGGGAAGCCTTTTTGCAGGGAAAGTAAATGACTAGTAAAACACGTACATATATTTTGCTAAAAAAATATAAAGTTCTTTTGTCGTTCTATACTCAACATTTTGCGCATTGGCTACAAAAATTGTTTCACTAGCCACTGAACAGAGCATTGCGGGGTTGGTCTCAATCGTAAGGTATTAGGGAATCTATTGGCAATAGTGAGGACGGGTATGTCTGCTTGGTGAATAGCTTTTTAAAAACATCATACGCCTGACTTATTTTCAATAACTTTTCCCCAAAGTGAATTTTATGCCGAGACGAAGTGGGGCGAGTATTTATTTGCAAGTAAATTAAAAAACGATAAAACACGAAAATATAGTTTAAAAGAATAATAATTACCTTTTACTTACGTACATGTGTTGTTTTCATCAATAATAAGACTAATTGCAGGTTATTTAAAATTTAATATTGTTATTTATGTAGGATCTAGACTTTCAACTAAAAAGTTCTTATGTATCATTCATATGCACATATGTACATAGAAAATGTGAAATTACATATACAAATTATATAATGTATGTGTATCTACGTATGTATGTTAGCTTATTAACAAATCTATTTAATACAATTCTAATTATTTTAGACAATTTTAATTTCGTATATATAAATATATACGGAGGTTGAATTTCATTTTGAACACGTTCACAAGCGTTCAAGCTACAATGTGCAAGCCCTTGAATAATAATAAGGTCGTGGACATTATTGAGGGAGGAAAACGGGTGAGACGATATGCCACCTAAAAACTAGCATCACATACAGAATAATTTATTAACAATACTGCTGACATATATACATGCATCTTAAATTTATGTCGATTAAAATTTACTTAAATTAAACATATGTATGTATGTATCTATCGTTTACATAGTGCTTCCTTTGCGCAAATAAAAATTTGTTTCAAACGCAATTCTAAATTTTTATACTAACTTTTATTTAAAACAAAAATATTCTTATGTTCTACAGCTCAATATTAACAAATAGAAGTGCCCTAAAGGCGCTCAAGGTTAAATATTTTATATTTATCCTTATTTTTCATGGGTGTACGTACATACTTACGGTGTGAATATTTACAGTTATCGGTTTTATTAGCAATAACACACCACTGTCACAATGCAAATATAATTTTTTTTTTTGAAATTTAGGTTCTTATCATCCCATTCTCTCTGTGTTTGATTCGCAATTATGTCTTTACTTCACACATAATTTGTGCACTAATTTAATCATATCTTGATTTATTATTTCATCGTAATGCTAGTTTGGTTTTGTTTAAATATTTTCATTTTCGTTGTATTTCATTACTTTAGTTTGCGTTTTGTGCAATTATTTATTTCTATCGAACAATAAACCTATTAATTTTACCTTCAATTATTATTATTAATTTTTCTTAGCTAATCAATAACTTTATTGAGTTTTGCGTAAACTACAATAAACAAAAAATTTACTAAGAAAGAAGAAAATAACCCAAATAAATATAAAATTAAATTTGTCAGCGAAAGATTAATTTGAAACCGGACAACTAATTTTAATATTATTTCTACATTATAAGTGTATATACTATATGTATGTATGTATATGATTACAAAATTATTATTTATCTATTTACGCTAACAACTTGCTCTCAATACCCATTCAACACCCACGCGACCAGCTAAAAGAGAGGAAACTGACTTTCTATTTTATATTATTGATTAAAACTAAATAGAGAGTTAGGAAAGGGGTTGGTCAATTTTAGTCGTCAGTCAAAAAGACATTAATAGAAAATAAACAAAAAAAGCAAAAACTAAATCGCTGTCATTAGCTGATGCACAACTTCTTAAAGTCTTTGTTTTTAACTTTTAATTTAATAACTGTTTGACTAATTTATTTCTGTAACTTTTACTCAAAAAATATTTATATCAATTCATCTTTCTTCTCATTTCTTTGCATGCCCCTCTAAATCATGCTACCGAACATACGCTTGCCCCGTGTCAACACCAAACTGACTACCATAACGGTGAGCAAGAAGAAGACCAGACTCAAGAAAGTTGTAATGTAGCGACACCTTTGACGGAATTTCTTTTCTTTTTCCATTTTAATGCGTAGCTGTTCCGCACGCGGCAGATCCAAAGTAAAATCAGACTCCGGACGTGATGATGGCTGTATAGAGAGAGAGAGAGAAAGAAGGAAGATAAAGGGTGATGAGTTAGAAGCTTACAAATTGGAATATAAAAAATACAGTTTCCTAAAAAAATCGAAAAATAAACATAAATAAATAAATGTATCGTACGTTATATAAAACATATTATTATTCCAAATTGATGTACATATATATGTATGAAGGCACTAGGTAAAGCTAACAAAAATTTGCCAGTTATATAATATGACACATGTATCATACATATACATATGTATGTACAATATATAATATAGGTACAAAATCGGTGCTCTATATTGTTAAAGTGATTTTCGGTCGAACTCATCCTTAAATATGCGCTGTGCTGTGCGTATTAATTTTTCCCAACCTGCAGTTTACTCTAAGTCACTTCCGAACGGCTGAAGGATTTTTTGAAGAAATTAAACTAATACTAATAATCTATGTTTTCGGATGATGGTGTGGTCAGCAACGGCATTGAAATTTACCGCCTTCAAATTGAACGAATATTGATTTTGGTATTTACCGAGAAGCAGTTTAAGTCTGCATATCTCTAAGACATGAATTTTGGTTGATTACAGTAAAATATGTATGTAGGCAGTAATTCAAATATGTCTGATTAAAACAATAATATGCTAAATACTTATATTTATTATATGTACAAAACCAGTTTTCCGTCACCTAACACGCACCCTTTGATCGCTATCAACCAGCGCTGCAGCGGCTGTAAGCCTCTATTACCCGCAAACTTCAAAATAAATATTGGCAAACTGGGACGACACGATTTTTGAGTTTGCACATTTTATATATAAATATGTATGTGCAATTGTATGTTTGAATGTAAACGCGACGCGCTGACTGACTGACGGTGATGGCCTAAGCTTAACTGTGATGCGTTCGAGCCATTGCCGTGATGTTGACATTTGAAAAATTATCTTTAAAAAAATAACGAGCAAAGCGATGATGTCAAATAAGATTTGCTACCTTTTTCCCACCAAAAAAAAAAAAAAACAAACTTTATCACATCATCCAAAATCTATTCAAATCTATCTGAAATCAAATGCGACACTTTAGTGAAATCATCTGATAAATAAAAGCAAACGAAAGACACGGAAATCCGAAAAAAAGTCTATTTATAATTTATTTATTTATTAACATTGAAGGAGTGATTGCATTTGTTTCTCTCTTCCTTACAATTTGGTGAAGACTCTTTGGCCAAGAATCGTTGAAGTACTCACAAATCGCAACATCTCCTCCTTTTTCTCTACTAGCGTAAGCACCGCTTACGCGATTATAGCCGATTTAACAATATTGCGCCATTCGTTTCTTCTTTTTGCTGTTTGGTGCCAGTTGAGGTCTTCCTATTCCTCCGCTTCCACCGGCGGTTACTGCATCGAAAACTTTCAAAACTCCGTTGCCTACTCTCCTACAGTAGCACCTGTAGGCAAGAGCGATTGCGCAATGGATTCCCAGTCTGACATTGTTGTTGGTGTTAATACTGGTTCTTGGTCAGACAAAGTTATTTACGACAGTGACGTCGGATTCGGAGCTGTTTGTGTGATGACAGGAGATATTTGGTCTTGACCTCATCCACTACAGACCCATAACCTCCGCTTCCTTATCTAGTCTAGCACGGCCAATAAAGTCAATTTCTTCGGCTTGCGCCAGCAGCTGCACACTGATATACATAGAAGATTGTACCTTTTCATTTATATTCATAGGTCTGTATATATCTCCGATCGTTTAGGTGTTTTAAGGCTCCATTAACTTCACTCAAAATACTTTATGCCCTGCCTGAGGGGCGGAATTCTGCTCATAAGAAATGTGTCGTGCCGTGGCCTAAGTGTTCTACGCTTAAATTAGTAGAAATTCCAGCTCGTCATCAGCACTGAAATACCAGTAGCGAACTATTTATAAGCTGTTGGCACTTGCGGTGATGACGGCATCAGACGCTGTGATTTTTTAGTATGCATAGACGCGCGCGCATACCTCACTTTCTTACTTTTTTGGATGTATTTATGTTTTGAAAACAATTAAGTATGTATTGTTGTTACTTAGAATGTATGATAACACAAAAATAGATGCATTTGTAATGGTGTGACCATGATATGGCCCTCAATGTAATACGCATGTGAGGTGAGGTAGTTTAATGGTTAGGGGCTGCCTCACCTGTTGGTATCTTGTTCCACTTACGAAAATTGAGAGGATTATGAAAAAGGAAGAATATCTTGGTATTTGAAATCAATTTGCCTGAATTCTTTGACATCTTCCAGCAAGATGGAGACCCAAAACATCCTGTAAAAATCGTGGTAAGCCAATCAACGTTTTAAAGTGCTGAAGCGGGCTACAATAAGCGAATTTTTAGCAAATGCTTACAGACTTAAGTACATATGTATGTATGCAGATATGAAAAGTAAATAAATGTATAATAAATATGCAATTGCGTATGTTCAAACTTCGGTTTACAGTCTGTTTTGTTTGACTGCCTTGTACACTCAACAACTTGTAGATACCTTGTAGTTTAACTACTTCGGTTCACCGCTAACGATTGAACTAGATTTCAGAAGTGAGTACCGATCACAATTTTGTAAACATGTAACTGAGCTAGCGATACCATTGTTTATTAAATTTTATTAAATTTATATTAATAATTTATTTTAAAAATTAATAAAAGACAAAACAAACAAGATTACAAAAACATTTGGGATGAGTTTGACCGGAGAACGCTGCATTACCACTACTCAATAATTTGTCTAACGATTGGTAATGCACACAAATGCTTGAAGAAGTGGTGCTCGGCCAAAAGAAATCTCTTCAGACCCTTTTATATATACAAAGTTACTTTATTTATATTTTTTCGCGTTCATGCTATCGAGTTAACGCTTCTACATATGTAGAGAAAATATGTATAATCCACCTGAGTAGACGCCTTAACTCGTGGTGAAAAAGTGTTAATGTTTGCATGTTTGCAAGTTTAATCAACCAGGTAGGATAAACTCGAGTAGAAACGAAACATAAACGTAGCATATGCCGTCCGAAATGCTTGAAAACTTGACTTGAGAAATGCAAAGAAAGTACGAATTAAATTATCATATTTTAAATAAATATAATATAAATAATAAGTATGCCCGTATGAAAACTCCACTTCACCAGAGGTTGAGGTGAGAGGGGGTGAAAATGATATATTATATATATAGGGAAGCACAAGACTGGGCTAGCCTAAAGCCTGAATTGCAATGCAAAAATGATTTGCTAAAAAGCCACGTTGGCAAGACACTGCTTTGGTCGTTGCATCTGTAATACTTTGCTTACGGTAATACATTTAGTTAAGTGCTTGTGTGTGTTTTAGCTTGGTGGCAGAGTGTGACCCCGAATCGGCTGAGTTTTGCTATATATGCAATTATGGAAAGCCTTAAAATTTTAAATACATCAAGTATTTCTGAAACTCGTTTGAAGTAGATTGTTATGAACTAGTACCATAGTACTACAATTCATACTAAGCTGCTTCCGAACGGCTGATGGTTTTTTATGAGGAGCCTTTTTTTATGTCCGAAATACACTCGTAGGGGTTGACATTTCCTGCCGAGGGGCGACCGCTATTAGAAAATTTAACTTATCTTTGTAATTAAATTAATTTTCTACAACTTTTTGGATGTTAGTACGACACCAGGACTTGAACCCGAGCCTTCCAAATGGCAGCACGCAATGCTAACCACTGCGCTCCGCGGTCGCATACATAGACTACCCACAGATAATTCCGATAGTGATTTTCACCATTTGCATCGTCCATTATGGAAGCGCATTTAACAGTACAAACACGAAACACGCCATGATTACACATGACATGAAGTCGGAAATTTATGCAAATTAAATCGAATTAAATTTTCTCTGGAACCTTTCATTATACTCGTACGGTAGCACATTTATAAACTTTATGATCATTTAGTATCGGCCTAATGGTTCAGTTATTATTTTCACAAAACTTTCGTTTACATCGCTTGAACTTAGAATAACTCCCCTGAAATCTCAATTGGTCCATACATAATTACAAATTCTTCAAATTTACCTTTGAATGCCTCCGTATGTATAGACAGCTGATGTGCAACATTTTTTCTTTTATTCGTTTCACTTTAATATTGTAAATTTAGCTACACACCTCTGCGGAGCATGCGTAAGACAGTCTTTACTACAGTTACTTAGGCGGCCATTTATGCAGCAACGCATTCGTAAATATGTATGCGTTTCGCTTACATTAACGAGTTTATCTATAAAATATGCAAACACATTTTCGTAAATGTAATCGAACGTCCTTAAAGGTCATTTAAAAAGCAAACGGGGCGGTTTTATGTGGCGGACAGGCTGAATAGTAATAAAATAAATACATACATACACGTATGTAAGTTTGCAGGCGCTGTATGCCGGTTTGACATGTTGTGGCAAATAACTGACCGCTTTTTTGTTCAGACATTTTAAAAACCAATGGAATTTTAGAGCAAAAAATATACAATAAACTTAAATAAAGCAAAAAAATAAAATAAAATAAAATAAAATAAAATAAAATAAAATAAAATAAAATAAAATAAAATAAAATAAAATAAAGAACAATAAAATAAAATAAAACAAAATAAAATATATTAGATTAAAATCTAAGTAAGGGGAAATGCTCACATGTTTAGGTAAAATTTTCCCCACAAGTGTGCATTTAAATAGAGCTACACAGTTAATGCAGTTACCGTACACAAGTGATTGTTTTTGCATGGGTGCAGTAGTCAAATTGCTGCAGCATAACTTCGGATTCTTATCTTTTATCGCCGACACCATCTGCTTTGTGTCAGGGTATGCTGACGGGAAAGGACAAGACTCGATATTGTTGTATATTTAAGTCTTTTTGTTGCAAATATTTATTTATTTTTGTTGTTTTTGGCAAGTTCTTAAAGCTCTTAATAATAAAATTAATGTGTCTTTCATGAAAGCAAGCCCAAAAACGACAACAAGAAGCGCGTGC